AAGCTCAAGTGTTGTTTCAATGTTTGCGTGGGACAAATAACGCTACGGTCTGTATGAATTATGACGATAGAAAATCTTCGTTGCGCCATGCCTGACGCGTACGGACCGATGATAAGAGAAGGCGCTGTCGAACTACTTATGTCCCCCTTCCTGACATAGCCCCAAAATATTTTTTAAGAAACCCCCTTCATACGGCATTTACTGCAAGGCAGCTATATTTGACAGCTATGGTACCTATAACAGAGTGTAAAATTAAGGATTAACTTTTCAATGTGTAGACACTTTCTTGGAACRATACACCCGAGATGATAGCAAATGTACCCAGTGCACCCTACGTGGATGCTGTAAATTTGACAGAGCAAGAAGTTGTTTTCTGCAGACTTTCAACAGAAAAGCAATTCTTTATCTCCTAACTGGAATTTACAGCAGTACAGCACACAATCAGTGTGACTGAGGCACTCGGAAGACTGACTCAGCAGTCCTTTAACTGTTCGGAAGATACATTTTTTACATGCCCACCCTAAGCATTTTTTAGCACCGTCACCAGACCTTTGTCCTTAGGCACTTACAACACCGGATGTAGCAGTGTGAATGGGTTTCACATCTAYGGACTATTTAGTGCTGTGATGGTTTTGACAGCAATGACTTCTGATCATCATCTTATATCTTCTGATCATCAATCTCGTCTAATGGCCTTTTCCTAATGCAAACCTGTTTATCCTAAGGTAAAACTACACTTAAAAAAGATCTTATTAATTAGCCCTTGAGCATGCTGGCGTACTTGGGTCGAGAACACGGGAACGTGTACCCGTAGGTGCACGTCGTTYGGCTCCGATGTCAGTGAGGTCAGATGTGGAAGTCATTACACYGCAGATCTACACAGACAATGTTCTGGAGTCCTGAGAAATAGTGTGAGAAAGACCAGCATTGCCCAAAGTGACTGGGRTCATGCTGAAACAATTTCTTTGAGGTCAATTAAAATTACCTCCCGAGTCATATTGCTGTTGCTTTTTGCTGGCAGAAGCTGCAAATTATCTTCCGATTTAATCTAAATGAGCCCTACAATCACTTCAGTAAAAATGAATGTGGTAATGGTTAAATGGTCAGAGATAGGGAACTAATGGTTACATATATTCTCGACATCCATAATTGATGGGCATTATTGTTCGTGCATTATCTCTATAGTAATAGCCTASTCCTACACATAGACTGTGGCTTTGTGTAGTTCAAAGAGGAGGAGGCTGAGGGGCAACCTCATTGCTCCCTGCAGGTTCCTGAGGAGGCAGTGTGGAGGGGAAGGCGCCGGGCTCCTTTCCCTGGGATCCAGGAGCAGAACACCTGGGAATGGTTCACAGCTGTTCCAGGGTATATTCAGACTAGACATTATGAGAAAGCATTTCTTTAACGAGATCTGATTTTTAGTAATATCCGATCATTAAGGCTCTTAAAAATGCCTCTGCGTGATTTAGGGTGAAAACAAGACCGTATGTTATCAGTAATATGGGTTTTAATTGATAAACATGATAGAGAGAGAGAGAGAGAGAGAGAGAGAGAGAGAGAGAGGAAAAGAAAGGCAAAAGGAGGAAAAGAGGTGGGAGGGGCCAAAAGAGAGTGACAGAGACAGAATAAAGAAAATATCRCCGTTCGTGGATTCCGGSKAGGTTACGTAGATCCTCTCCAGCTGGTCTTCTTGATGGTGATGGTCCTCCCAAAAAGTCTTGTAAAGACTGGTGAGAGAGGTAACTATKTCTACAATGTGAAATAAAAGTTCACTATCAATTTTCTTCTTAATAGATGCCAAGTTAATAATGCAACCGGGAGAACAGCTTCTATTGTAGCTTGCTTGCATTGCTGAGAATCCAAGGACAAGACAACAGAAACTGAGACCTACTCATTTCACCGCTTACAGGAATATTTTATTTTATCAGGCTAGCTAGAAGAAATTGTAAGAATTCCTCAATTCACTTAACATGAATGCATTAAGTAACATGAACCAACCAAATTATGGAGCCTAGCTTTATAAAAGACAATCACAATTGTGTAGCGGGTGGAATTTTTTTTTTATTTTCAGGAAAACAAAGCCAGAACTGTAACTGGCTTTGGGATGGGCAAAGAGAATACCCATTAGGAAAGAAGAATGTTTTAATTTTAGATAAGGAGTGACAACATAATATTTTCATTATTCAAATAGAAGCAAAAAAGCCTTTTAATAAACAACCTATAAATTGCATTGTATTGAAATCCTAGCACTGGGAAAAATTTTTGCCAAATGTTTCGATCCTATGCTGACTACTTTAAGTACTCAATAACTGTTYGGTCTAGCTTCACAGTAAGGTCAAGGTGAAAAGGGCCTCCAAAAGAGGAGGGGATGACCCAGAATAGTTTTGGACATCAGGTAACTTTGTGACAACTTCGGGCCAGTACGGAGATGGCTGGACAAAAAAGAAATCAAATCTCTCAATGCAGTCTTGAATTGGGCTACATTTTTTTCATGTATCTAGCTATGCACTTCATACCATTGAGGTGTCTTTCCTAAYCAGATAGATTACCATTTCGGCGTTTCAAAATCTGAATTCCAGTACCGGAAGCTTGGACCAGATACACTGAATCAACCCTTCTGCGGTTCTGTTTTTCCTTAATCCGCTCCCCCCACCCCAGATTTCACAGAGGCAGAAATAATTTTTATTCTAAAACCTTCTCTACGGTATTTTATTGATTTCACGGCTGGGCTCGCTGTGCACATTTGAAAAATTATTAAGTGTAAAGGGCTAATCAAGTACTTCAGAAGATTATAGTAAACAYAGTCCTGTCACAGGAATAGCAGGTTTTGTTACTGTATTTCTAAGCTACTTCTTAGTACTTGGCATTTTGAAATGCCTTCTTAATTACATTATAAACAAGATACTGTTRAAATAACACTATTCGTCGTTAAAAATAGGAAGTTGTATAATGCACGAGGGTAATTTGAATTCTGACAGGCACGATGATGGGATTTTTTAATTGCATGATGACAGGCTCATTTTCCATAGCGCTTGCACCTGATTCAGCATGCCAGTATTCACCTAAGGAGCCACTACGCAGCACTCTGTCCTTTCTGTCTGAATGCTGCCTCCTTATGCAGCAAAAGCTGTTCCCTCTCCCTCTGCACAAGGTTTTCATCGAGTGCTTCTGTGTGCTGATAACTAACTGTTTCCCTGGCTAGCTCCTATCCTCATATCTTACTTATCTTTTACCGAGTCTTACRTTTATTCCCTTCCGTCAAAACTGAGGCCTAGCCGGTGGTTCTGCTTAGCCTATCCTAGGCTTTCCCATCCTGGCCCTCATCTCCGGAGAGCTTGTCCTGAGCATTCTTCTCTTTTCCGGGGTCTTTTTTCCTTCTATYCTCCTGTCACGTGATCTTTTCCTCCATCTGTATCGGAACTCAACGGGACACCCGTTTCTCTMTCAGGTTCTTCCTGTGACTTTCACCTTCAGGTTATGGAGAAAGAAGTGCAAACAGTCAGTACAGAGGCACAGATGTACATGCGAGCGTGTCACACAAGGCAACCGTAGAATTTACTGCACGTTCAACCGCAAACATCGGACRAATCTCAAACGTGCGTGTGCCAACAGGTGTTTGCATAGGGGTGGGAGCAGCACCTCTCTGTCATGCTTTCAAGCTAAATATTGKCAATCCTAGGTTTCTGTTCTGATTGTTTAACGTGGAAACCAGAAGGAATWATGCTCCTTTACTCCACTCTAACATAACACAAAGGAGGCAAGGGGGCGGGGAGGGCAGTCACYGACAGCGGCTGTTCTATTGTTTTCTGTCAAAAAACTTGGCAAAGCAACAGGCTAGACACAGCTGAAATGTGCTGGCTAAAAATTTCTCAAAACTTTCATCTGAGACAGATGCAAACCATGCCTAATACCATCACRGAGAAAGTTCGTCAAAGCCAGGGATACCTGAAAAAGGGTTGCATACCAAACAATATTAGTAATCACGATACATGTACAACACTACCAGCATTGCCCACAATTCTGAWTCACACACTTTTAAGCATGTGATGCTTGATTTACAAATTAATGGTAGGCTCTAAAAGCATGTTTTATTTTGGGGTTGTTATTTTGTGGTTGGTCAAGGAGCCTTCCTTTGATTTTGGTATTTTTAGAGGTAAGTAATTTGACTTCAAAATAGGTCTACAAAAATTGTCCCAGCTCAAATCTGATTTCCCATACCGGGGAAATTTGGAATTGGAGTGTTCTTTGTTCATCACTTTGCATTCGAGAGTTTGTTTATTTTTAAAACCCTTTCATGGCTTCTTTGCCATTTCAAGTCCGAAAGAAATGCCCTTCCTAACAGACTTCCCTCAGCTTATTGTGGTCAAAAACCGATTATAGGTCACTGTCATGAGGAAGGTAAGGGATCGCAGAAAAGGATCTGGGCATCCTAGGAGACGCGAAACCGAACATGAGCCAACACTGCGCCCTCGCTGAAAAGGTGAACGGTACRCTGGGCTGTACGAGGCAAAGTCCAGCCGGCAGGTCGACGGAGGGGATCGCTGCCCTCTGCTCGGCACTGCGGAGGCCACACGACCGCGGTGCTGAGTTCGGGGCTCCTCAGTACCGAAGAYGTGAWCGCACTGGAGAGAGGGCAACAAAAAGCCACGAGCGTGACCGACAGGAAATCGTCTCTCCGACGAGGACAGGCTGAGAGAGCTGGGACCTTTCAGCCCTGGAGAAGAGGCAGCTCGGGAGATCTCATCTGCCTGTGCAAACAYCTGCAGGAACAGTGCCAAGAGGATTTACCAAGGAGCCAGGCTCTTCCCAGTGGTTTTGGTCCTTCTTCCCGCAGGGCTTAGCGGCCACGAGAGCGACGCGCTCCACYAGCACCGCCGCTCCCAGCCAGCACCCCGATACGGTCCCACCCTTGATTCGCACAGCGGAGTATTTTCAAACTCCGCTTTCCCCGAGAGACAGCAGGGGCGGGCGGCGGGCTGGAGGGGGAAGGCGGGGGTGAGGCCTCGCAGCCCAGCGCGGTGCCAGCCCCGGCCGGAGGAGGGGGGTGACGTGCGGCCGCCGCAGGAGGCCATGGCGGGGGCCCCGCCCGCGGCGCCGCGGAGATTCCTCGGGGCGGGGCCTCCTCCCGCTGCCGCTGCCGCTGCCGCGACCGCGCCGCTCCTGGCCCCGCCCCTATATAAGGGACGGCCTCGGCGCGGCTCCCGGTGTGGCCGCCGCCTGTCCCGCAGCCGAGCCGCGTTCGGGCACCATGGCAGGTCAGTGTGCGCCCGCCTGGCCCGCGCCGCCCTTCGCGAAGGCCGCGGGCAGCGCTCGGGAAGCCGCCGCGCGCTCCGGGCCGCGGGATCGGGGCGGCCGCGGCTGCGCCTATTTTTAGGCGGCCGTCGTGGCGGCGAGCGGGCTCCGGCCGGTGGGGGCAGGGGCTGCCCGCGGGGGGGTCGGAGCCGTCCGGCCGGGCACCGCCGTGCGGTTTGAGAGGACGCGCACGGTGCCCGCTCGCTGCGCGCCCGCCTCGGTGCCCTGCCCCGGGCTCCGTCCCCGAACGGGAGGGATGTAGCCGGCGTGGCGGCGAGCGGGATGGGCCGGAGGGGCCACTGTAGGGCTGCGGCGGCTCACAGSGGAAAACCCGGCCCTCTTCTGAGACGCCAGAGAGAACTTGTGACTTCTGTGATTTTGTTAGTTTGCAAAGAGTAGSTCCTTACCGCTACTCGGCTCTCCGAGTACGTCTCGCTTCTTTCTTCCGGCTTTTCCCCCCCGATTCTTACCTGCAGTTGTCRGCAGAGTGAGTTTCATTTTCAGATTTGGAAGCCTGCAGTAAGTCTGCCTCCCCGTGCATATCTTGATAAGATGCTCTTGTCTCTCTAGGAATCCCGTAGTCAAAAAAAAAGTTCAGACGTACCGGTACCTAGCTCGGAGAACAGGGGGAAAGGCAAACACTTGTGAACTCTGGCTATGCCTGCGAGAAAGTTTTCAGGGAACTTTTTAAATGGTCTGGGGTAAGCGCTTCAGTAACCGCCTGCGCACCGTCGAATGAACTATTGCCCCTAGCTCAGACTTCCAGGATGCTCGTGGGTGCGTAAGAGCTAGCACAAAGAGATAGTATCTGTCTGGCAAAGAGATACTGTATAGCTTGTGAACTGGGCGGCTTAAGAGGTCTCTGAAGTAGCGCGGTTTTGTCTGGATAAGTCAATTAGGAAGCTGTGCAACTGTCTCTTGTGTGGTTTTGCAGACGTACTGTCACCGAGAGTTCATTATGTTTCGGGTCTAACAGTGGTCGCTGTGTGAACTGAGATTCTGTGAAGGAAATGTTTAAAGAGAAGGGGGAAAAGACCAAAAGGGAGACCCACGCAGCTGAGATAGATACCTGTCCTTTAGGTAGAATGGACTAGACTTCTGCAGATGTAATTTCCACAATAAGCAGCAGCCGGCCTTGCCAAAAGTATGGTATAGCCTCATGTACTTATGATTGGACTTTAGAGAAGACATAGAATAGAGCGTAGTTTAATCAAAAATTTGGAAGGCTCTGCTGACTTGGATGGTCTCCAAGTTGACAATATTCACCTCCCGTCAAGCAATTGTCAAGTTTCATCCTGGAGCTGGGATGCTTAGCCTTTACTGCATCATTAATTGGACTATATTTCTTTAAAGACCTTGTGTGCGAATATTCAGTTTCAGCAAGATGAGGAGACAGAGTAGAAGTATAACTGCTAGTGGGTGAGTGAAGAAAACATCGGTCTTTCAATGGCAGTGTCACTTTAAGGATTAGTCTTAGACGCTAGGGAAAAAAGCAAACAAGCAACGTTCAGATGAATGTTGGGCACAATCGCACTTTGTCTGCCCTGGATTTTTAGTGAGCTGTTTGAGAGTGTCTAATAGTGTAAGACTTTMATGTGTTCAGTAGTAACATGCAAATTACCTACTGAAAAATCCTGTCCTATTAGGAGGATGTTCATACAGCTTGAAACAGTATATGCTTGCTCTTTAAAAAAAGTGTGAGGTTTTTCTGTAGACTTRCTGAATATGAACTAGTACAAATAGGCAGCTAAAAGTGAATTGAAACAAAATATCTTTATTCCTGGCATTATAGAAGCTTTTTTGATCTTTGTGATCGACCACTATAATCTAAATCCCTTGGGACTAGTTGGTTTTGCTGCTAAGCAAAATAGAAGGTTTTGGTCTATAGATCTTACTAACCAGGTTTGCAGAGCTTATAGGCAATTGCGGTACATGACTTTCTCCCGTAGGCTGTTATGGGGGTATTAAGTTTAAAAGATACTGATGATGACTAAGTTCTCAACTCGTGAACTTAGGAGTTCTGTCAAACAACAATTTTTCTGAAAGGAGTCAGTGTTTTAATCTTACTACTGAGCTTCACAAGTAAGCCTTTAGGTGCCCAGAGCCCTCCTTAGAAGATCTGACACCATCCGTAAAGAAAAAAAAACCCAAAGCTGCTACAACAAATTTGAATATGAAAATCCACTCTTGAAATTCTTAGGAAGAAACTGCTTCGTTGATAGTGTTGAAAATGGATTGGTAGAAAAGAGCGTGCGTCATAAAGTGATACGACATTGAAAGGAGGCTGCATGAAAATAGTCGATAGTRCGCTGAAGAACTACTATAAATTACTTGTCTGCTTTCGTCCCACTCTGACAGTTCAAAACAACGTGAACATTTTAAAAATRCAAATCTTGTATTATATGGCCTCAATAACTAATATATGGCAAAATAATCTGTCTTAGCTATTTTTAAGATACAGCTGGAGCAGAAGATGATAGTACTTCTCTGCTTGAAGAGTAAAAATTGTTCCTGCCAGTTTTAAATTGCTCTTTTTATTACTACTTACTTCCCATTTAAATCTTGCATTCTTCTCACAGAGCTGCAATTGTGGGTCGCAGAACAACTCATCTGCAAAATCCTGAGCTAGCAAAACTTAAAACTGTTGTCTAAGATATAATTCAATGCCTACTKTCATTCGAAAACGAAATGGAAGTTTTACACCACTGTAGCTTCAGGGTTGAGAGCTGAACCTAGAGAAACTCCACAAAGCCCTACTAACTTTAGGCCAAATGCGAGCCCACAGACTCCAAACACTTTCAGCCTAACAACCTATTAGTGGCCAAAGTAAGGCTCTTCAGACTTTTTGTATTGTCTCTACATGTAGCATGACTTATTTACTCTGTGGGCAAATTTGAACTCGTGTTCTCTTGGCAACAGTCGTAATTTTGTGGGTCATTTTACTGCGTTTTGGCAMGTGTCAGGTTGCTAACGGCAAATACAGCTATGCAAGTAATCTGCTTCATTCACTCACGTAGGAAGGCACTACACACTGAGTTAAAAGGGCCTATCTGTGAGGTATCAAAGCATGATTACCTAACAATACTAAGTTTCTAATGTATCTGTCTCAGAATAAAGTGGTGGATYGTGCCAACCTGACGGAGTTAATTTCTTGCAGACCAGTCTTTTGTGACTCTAGCCACAAATGACTCCTACGTGAAAGGAGCGCTGGTACTCGGTTCGTCCTTGCAACGGTACAGAACAACAAGGAAGCTGACAGCACTCATAACTCCTCAGGTCTCAGATCTTATGAGGTAAGGTCACTTATAAACTTAAAACTGCAACAGTTCAGGCTGSTGTGCGGGTTGAAAAATTGAAGTTAAATTCCTTAATAGTAACTCTTCAAAGGTCTGGAAGATAAACAGCTTATTTCGACAGAATTCAACTTACCCATACTATCTAGAGTTCTGTAAGTTCTTCAGACATGAAACAGCTTGTTACGTTTTGGTGTGATTTTTTTTCTTTCTTTCTTTCTTACAATGAGTTAGAGCTCTAAACCATGACTTGATATTTCAGCTGGATATTTGCTCTTTTGAAGTCCGGCTTAGATTTGTCAAACAATACTGTGATAATGCCTGTGCATTTGTTAGTGCTGTGTATGTGCATGTGGAGGTGGGAGTAGGGGATTGGTATTCGTTTTGCAGAAGTATTCCCGATTRAGATAATATAACAGAAGCTCTCTTGAAATGTAGCAGACATTTCAAATCACTCTTTATCACGGGAGAAGAAAGCAAGCAGAACTAAAGTTGCACCGAGTATGTCAAAGTAGCTCAACAGAGGCATCTAACAAGGTCACCACCGTACAACAAATGAAATTAACAGGCAACTGCTTCCTATGGTCTCCTTAGAATAGTCTCACTATGGAATGGATTCTCTCTCCACATGTAAGAGGGTAAAAAAAAAGACACACAAACAAGRAAACATTTAATGACTATGGGAACTACAGACGATACGTCCAGATTCTTTACATGGGGAAGTGCTTTTGAAAAGACTTCTCAATATATAGAGAGACAATAGAGAGATGGCTCAAATAAAAAAAAATAAATAAATAAAAAAAAAAAAAAAGTGACTCTCCCTGGAGTCTCCTGGCAGCTAAACATCACGTTAAGATGTTGCGTATAGGAATGTCCATTCCAGCCTGCTAGGTGGTTCTTTTAAGAGGAATCCTAAATGTACTTACGTGCTACCACAAGCCAGCTAGCGTTATGCCCTTAGACCGGTGATGCCTACGTACCGTACCGGCTGTTGTAATCGGAAGTTGCTTTTCTCACCCTCTCTCCCTAACRAGGTATGGCTTAAGTTCAGAAGTACTGTCCGCACCAAACCGTCAGTATAAGGACTGCCTTGCAAGGYGGAGTTCTAGAACTCATTTACAAGCTCTGTGGCTCATGTTGTACCGGTATTTGCTGAGCATTCGAGATACATTGTGGAATACTAAGACTTTACAGATGTTTCCTTTTTTAAACAGCACAGGCACCGYAATCTCTTGAACTAATGATAATGCTCCATGGATGATAAAGCAAAGGTTGGGTATCTGCCACAAAATTTTACCACGTTGCCTGAAAGTTTATCACTCTTTAGTGAATATGATACTGGCTCAAAACATTGCTGTACCCACAGCCATGACTAGGTCAGTGTTGGAAAGATTTTATGGGATAAAGAAAGTTTTAGCAACTGGGTCTAGTCAGATGTCTCAAACGTCCCTGATGTCACAMATCCAGAACCGTGTAAGTATTGCATAAACTCATGTTTCAGCTGTTTAGGATTCAGCTACTGTCCTGCTCGAGCTAGTCTGACAGCTTCCCTTTCTTAATTGCCTGCTCAGAGTAGACAGTTGCCAAAAACCAGAGTCAGGATGAAMAAAAAAAAGCCTTGCGGGAAGGTTGCGGTAAGCAGCTGTGACTTACTAGACTCGATAGTGATGCAAAAAGCATTGTTGGTGGAAGAAAAAACATTTCCGTTCCCCGAAATGTGCCCRTTACGAACCGGAAAGGCAGCCGGGCGTACTTGCGCATTCCTACGTAGGCAGTCGACTCTTACGTCTGTTCGACGAGAAATGTTGCTAGGTTCCCTGTTATTCCGCTTCTCTTTACAGAATCTGTCACGTGGTCTGTTATTGGAGTAACGCTAAATGTTGCCAATTGACTCTTCCCCAGGAGAGTGCTGGATAAAGTCTTTGATGAAGTCATATTGGTAAATGTCTTGGATACCGGGGATTCAGCGCACTTGGCGTTAATGAAAAGACCCGAGTTGGGTGTCACGCTAACAAAGCTTCACTGCTGGGAGCTGACACAGTTTTCAAAATGTGTTTTCATGGATGCAGACACAATGGTAAGTGGCTGTGTTTCATGACACCTCTTAAAGACGTAGTATTGGGACGGTTGGATTTTTTTCTGTGGGTTTTTTTTTTTTAAGAGTAGGGGTATTCAAAGCCTTTTACTAGATGSACTAGAAACAGTAAGAATTTATGTGCCTTTTAATCGAAATTAGCTGCAATGAAGTCTGTGGGGACTATTTCCTTAAAATAATKGTCTTCCATAAGATGAGCACTGATACAAGAACTTACTTTCATGTCTTAAGTTTGATGCCAAAATCCACTAAAATGTGATACCACAATTCCTAACCTGAAACCATTTTTWAAATTCATTTGCAATTAGGTTTTGTCAAATATCGATGAGCTTTTTGACAGAGAAGAGCTGTCTGCAGCGCCAGATCCAGGCTGGCCTGACTGTTTCAATTCAGGAGTTTTTGTTTACCGACCTTCCGTTGAAACGTACAATCAGCTGTTACAGTTTGCCACAGAGAAAGGCAGCTTTGATGGTAYGTATTAATTTGTATTTCAATGTAAGTTAGACCACAATAGTGACAGTAGTTGGGATGGCTCATTAGCTTCGTGCCTCTCGTGAGGACTCCCTAAGATRGAGTTCTCATTGTTGCTACACAAAAATGGTGTTCTTCTCAGAAGAAGAGGCTATCATAACAATATGTAGTAAAACTACTTTTTTCAGACTTCGTGAAATAAATATGGGTTGGCCTCCAAACTAATGATTGTCAGCATTAAGAGTGTAGAATAGYATAACRAGAAAACTTAGGCTGTAGCAATCAYGGTGCRTRCGTTAGCAAATGAAGCTCTGGTACTCCTGGTATGCTCCGGGCATTCCTAATGCTCAAGGCTTGGACGTTCTATACTAACTTAAGCTGCTACAGAAAAAGTAGTACTGGTCAACTTGAGCACAGCTTCAGAGAATCAAACATTTGAAGACACAGCTATCTCTTCATATGCTATGTGATGGCTTCCTGTCATTATAGGGTGGTGACTGTGTCTTTCCCAATATCAATTGCATGTAGCCTTGGCTGCTTCCCACTGTAAGTCAATTGGGATGTGCCACTGTACCAGGTTTAAGCTTGAGAAGCCAAGTTCTGCTGTCCCRTAAGTCTACTAATAATCTATTACCGTTGCAGTAAAAGCATATGTTGCTTGGAGGCTGCCATAGTTAAAGGCTTCAGAGTATCACTGTCTCCCCTTGCTTAATTTCATTATGTAACTACTGTGGTACAAAACAAAGTCTAATTTTAAAATCTATAGAAAACTGTAAATAAGACCGTAAAATGGAACTATCAGATAGAAAATAATTAGCTGGTCTGTTGATTTACTTTTCAGTATTCTGTGAAAAGTAAAACTTCAAGATGAGTGCTGCTATTTAATGATGTCTGTACCTTGCTACTGAAAAGGTATCAGCCRGTAGCATTGTGAGTGCTCTCAGCGGTTGGGTGCAAATTGATCACCGGCTGTGCAAAATCCATAGCCTAAGTCTGAATTGTTGCATTAAAGCAAACAAAACTCAAAAAAACCCCCACAAACATTCAAAAACAAACAAAAAACCCCAAAYRCAGCCCTCCCCGCCATTAAAAAACCCACCTAAAAGGCAAACCCGCTCAACCTAAAGAAAACCCCAAACKCTCATCTTTACGCAAACCGACCGTTGCGTCGCTTCGGGAATGTCTGAGACTCGGTGGTTGTCTCCTTTGAGCTTTGTGCTTGACTGCTAGCAGACCAGATCTTCTCGGTTGAAGGCCCCTGTCCTGTAAAAGAGTRGAACTGCTTCCACAGTATGTTTTCTGACTTGAAACCTAAAGCCATTCGATGGTGAAACTTCCACCGTGTCCTGAATGCAAAGCAATTGTTGCAGCACTTAACACRAAAAATAGTGGGTTAGTTGTTCAGGTATCAAATTTCTAGAACTGTTATWTGTACTTCGGCTTCAAAATTTCCTTAGTTTTTGTTAAATGATAGCACTCATCTGAGTAATGAGACTGTGGAGCCTAGACCATCTGTATAAGCTGCTGCCAAGCTCAGGAACTTGATAAGGACAATAGGGTTTGAAAATTAAATTGACCTAGAGAGTAATAAAAGGTTCTTGGAAACTTAGTAAGAGAAACATGTGAAGGGTCACCGCTTTTAATAGGACACGGGGATGCAAACTTAATGAGCTACCAAACTATGTGTGGTTGAAGTCAAGCTGCAAGTACTTTCTAGGGAATGGAAGACCCTCCGGAGTATTTTTTGCATGTAACAGCAGACAGAAGCCTCCTATGTAATCCTGTTGTCCTAAAATGGCAGAATGATGGCTRCTTATATAGACATCTACTCTGTCTGTCTAGACCTCACCTTTCTAGTTAATAAAGAACCTGTCCTGCACCTGCTCTAGATACTATCTAAAAGTGGTGGCTGGGAAAGAAGAGTTTGGTTTTAAAAGAARTCTGGTAGTACTGCTACCTTAAGAATGTTCATATTGCTTTAGATAATCCTCTGGGTCTTTAGCTTGGGATCCAAAAAAGTTGCTTGTACAGTCTTGCTGTATTGTATCTYCACAGCTTTCGTTGTCTGCTTTGGCCCAAATGCGTGCAATCTGAAAAAAAGGCCGAGTATGTAAAAYAATCCGAGCGAGAGAAAGTCCTGTATAGTAAATTAAATACGTTGTTGCTGCCCCTTCTGTTCTCTTGTGATGGACACTTCTTCAAAAGTGCTTTCCTTCCTTTATGGGTGGAGAGACAAGTCAGAGGTTTGAAATTACTGGCCTGAGTCTCCAGGCAGTTTCTCACTCTGCAATCTGCATGTATGCTGACAGCTGTAACAGGATACCTAGTATTTATATTTGTCAGTGTACCGTCTGTACATCTAASTTTATGCCCAGCATCTAGATACTTCATTTGCAAAAAGCAAATTCTGTTCGAACAGCACTGATGGTGTAAACCTTAATACTGCCCTAAAATCAAATCATAGGCCAATAAAAAACTTTTTGCTGACTCAGCAGACTGACTGCTTGAGAAAATGAAATTTTTAAATAAAACATTGTCTACYTACTAAGCTATCCATTTACTTCCACTTTAGTAATGCTACTTGTGAATGCAGYTATAGGTGAAAGAATACAGCAGGTGAAAGTTGGAGGAATGCTTTTAATCTCCTTGAKAAGAGGAATTATTACCAGTTAAAGACTAATTGTATTCATAGCAATGAAGAATGAATGGATATAAATAAGTATGTTTTTACCTCTCAGTTGCTGCTTATTAACGAGTTTGCTCTAGCCTGAAGGTTACGTTTATTTTTTTTGTTAGCTAATCTACTACTGGGACACCAAACAACTTCAGACTCACTTAACCTTGTAACTGAGAGGTGACCCCTCTGCACACATAYTGATATCCTCATTTTGTGGTTAGTTGGGAACTTTTTAGTGTGGAACTAGGAATAGTTGTTGTCTGTTAAAGGATTTGATAGAGTTTTACTATAAGAGTTGTCGCCGAGACTGCATGTGCTTTTCTAATCGGATCGGTGTGGAGGTAGATGCGTCTGGGACTGCGGGTCTAACGGGCCACTGGTAGCCCAACTCGGGAAGTGAGATGGTGTTGGTCGTGCATCTGTACGCATAAGTAATGAAACTAAGCGTTGCCATTTGATCTTGTGAGCTAGTTTTCCTGAGGCTGAACTCCGCTCGCTTGTCCCGTTCTGTTGCAGGGCTTTTTTGCTGCCTTATGCAGATTGAACTTATGCYGTAAAAGAAACGGAATGGCAGAGTTCGTGAGCGGCTTCCTATCTTTTAACAAAAGTAACCCCGTACGTACTGTTCCGTTCTCTGCATTCTTTGAATACTCAAAGGCTGCAATATTCACGGGGTTGTTCACAAATAGAACTTTTGTGCTCTACGCTACGCTTGTACTGGGCATGACAACTGCATTTACCGACTCGTACTCAGTGAAGTGACTGAAAAAGATCCTCAAACAGCTGTCTGATGCTTGTAGCCTAWTCATGCTTTCTTTTTTAGGTGCCGATCAGGGGTTATTAAACACCTTCTTCAGCAGCTGGGCAACAACAGACATGAGCAAACATCTACCTTTTATTTATAATTTGAGCAGCACTTCTGTATATTCCTACCTTCCAGCATTTAAAGCGTAAGTTGAAAACTTCAAGAAGATCTTCRGCGCTTACATAAACTAATTTCTTGTAACAGAATGAACGGGCCTGATGTGAGCTTACACCAGTTTTCTAGGAGACTGTCAGTGCCACTCGATGTAAAATAATTTCTTTTCTTAAAAAAAAAAAAGGTTGACTTGATGTAAGTCAAATGAATCGTCTCAAATGCAGAGAGACAGTTGTATCTGTGACTTAAAYCGCTCATCCCTGATGATAACACTGAAGTTGATTTAGAGTAAGCACATTTGACAGGTCACTTGCAAAAGGAAGAACCGCTCCTCCGGTACGGGAGACCGTTTAGTACAGTGCTAACCGATGGCAGTAGGCTCTTTAATCAACTGGAGCTGAACTTCAGCATGTCACTGGTGGTATCGTTCACACTTAGATAACTTGCCCTTTCCTTACTCAAATTACTTAGGGTATTTAACAACYGGTATTACAGTTTCATCTAATCGACCTATACCATTCAAATAAGYGTGGTGAACATAGATTTATTTCAACCTAGAATTCTCTTCTAATAGTCTTTCTGGACCTCTGTCAGTTCCTTAAGTAATGGCAAGATGGAACAAAGACTACAGCCAACCACATACCATTGCATGTTTCCTCTGTGGCAAAAACTCTATCCTCCCTGGCTAGCAGCATTAGTTTGGCGTGCCAGTAAACRGTATGTCAGAGGCAGGATTGCTGCGATAATCGAGGGCTGCGGGGGTGGTCAGTAAGAAGGGAAATCGAAGCATTGTGCAGAAACTCTTTACCTATTATGAGCTGCAAAAGTTGGAGGCAGTGGGGAAAGTGCCAATTGCACAAAAACAATCTGATCTCTSAATGACATCAGGTTACTAGTGTCTAAAGCAGCAGCTAGCATAAGCAGGACTTGCTGGCTTAATATCAAACTATGTCTTGTGATCAGAATACTGTTTGGAATCTTGTCGTGCTAAAAGTGGAAGGCTTATTTAAAGAAACATGCAAGCCTCAGAATGACTAAGTAGCTGGATAACATTCGGTAAGCTAACATCTATTGTAAAGTATATCCTTTTTGTATGACTGGCTGTTGGTCATGTGACCTTAATTTTACGCAAATTGCTTTCTTGCTTTACTTGTTGCCACRAAAGACTAATTGGCTCTGGGGGCTCCTGACAAAAATTGCCTTTAACCGAYTGAATCGATACCTTAACTGAATTCATCGGTCCTTCAAAAGCAGAATGCTGGAAGTGCGGCCCTTGGAAGTGAAATTCCTTGCTCAATTGATGGAACAATTTCCCTTGGTAAGATCAGCAGCCATACTCCTGATAATCAGCAGTTGGAATATAGTGAAATTTAAACCTACTGACATCAATAGCTAAGTTTTTGCGGCTTTGTACAGCGAGACTAGATTTCACAGCAGTCTCAGTAATCCTTTTTCCAAAGGAAAATGCCAATTCATGACAAATGCTCGCTAACTTGAATACATTGATGAAGGACTTTTCTGGGAGATAGGGAAAGACAGATTAGTTGCTGAGGCCAGTGTGGRCATAAAGCTTCCTAACAGTTGAGCTTAAATGTCAAAATAAAATAGTGCAGATCCAGAAAGTATCTAGAAAGCAGATACTGAAAASATCGTAGAAGCCTGGCATCTGTTCTGACCGAAGCGGACAGGATACTAAGGGTACGCTTCTTTTGCAGTAAGTGATACTTCCCACACATTCTATTCTCTAGCTTAAATAGCCTTGATTTTTGAGCCGTGACAAGTTTTTTCAGAGCAGCAGCAGCCWACGATGTAGAAAACTCGGGTTGTTTAGTACTGTGATAGCTAGTAAAACTAAGTTAGTCCCCTTACGCCAAATCTCAGCATTTGGGTTTTAAAGTTAAAGCCCGGTAACTGACCTCTTGAAGACACTTTTTTTCTTGCAGTTACTTGGTSTTTCACACACACGTAAGTCCTCATTCTGCAGAAAGATCAGTCGTATTTGAAACGTCGAACACGAACATTGAAATATATAGCCAAGGACCTTTAAATAGCGTGAAACCCACTCCCCCACCCAAACGCATACCGCATTAGGTCGAATATTCTACAGCTTTTGAAACGCACATGTATTGTCTCCATATATAAAACTCCTTAAATGCCTGAGTCCGGGTCAAAGTGACCACCATCTGCTTAATAAAACGTTAGACAAACTACTTTGACATTGCTAACCATTTAAGTCGTGTTACAYTGAGAAGAAAGCCTAATGTGATACACATTGAACTAGGTGAGATAGCCACTGCTACTAGAGAGACTGGTATTGCTCGTTTACAAAACTGAATCAAGCTGAAACCTAGGTCTGGTACTGTAAAATAATGGGATGAATGTTTTCTCTTTCAATGTAAAGTTCTTTACTTGAGAAGAGGTGCATCTCATCTACACTTTAAATGCAGAAGAACATACTGGTAACAATTAGAAGCTAGAAGTTCATATTGAAAATTGAGTTTAAATGGTTTCAAAACCAAACAGAAACAACCCATCACCAAACCCATGCATGGTAACCCTGAGGTTATTTAAGAAGTAAGGGCTGTCTAGCAAGACCCTGCTGCACCAAGATCAGGAGTGTTCTGGAATACGTGGGTTAAAACAGTTACTGTTTTGCAGGGACAYGGTCTTCTTGCAGCACAGCCTTCCAATGATCCATTTCTAGAGTGTGTACACCAAAAGGGTAACTCTTAACACTGACCCATCTCCACATAATACTTGTAATGCTTAACTCTCCAGCTTACTGACTTTGGAGTAGAATCTTTTTCACTTCTAAAACCAGTTCCGATTGCAATGGCTGCTTGAGACTGCTCTCTCCTGAGCTATGGACATCACCCTAAAGACTTGAGTTGTCTGTAAGTATTTAAATAGTCCAGACCATTAGGTTGTGGCTGTATCCAGAGTAGTGTAACGTAGAATTCAGTTTGCATTTTTTTCTGTTGTATYGCAACGCTTTCCAACCCAGTAGGCATTGGCATTTTGATAATTTAGCATTTAGCCTCTTAAATATATTAATATTTCTGTTTTCCGGTCAAATACGGAAACGGCAGGTTAAAAAAATAAAATTATTTCTGCCAGTCAAAACTTGTTTCCTAGACACGTGTACAAACTAGCTTCTAAAATTTTTCTTTCTGACAGGTTTGGTGCGAATACTAAGGTGGTGCATTTCCTGGGGAGCACGAAGCCGTGGAACTACACGTACGACTCCAGAACGAAAAGCATAAAGGGCAATATGGACGACCCTAAAATAGTTCACCCAGAATTCCTCAACATGTGGTGGGATACCTACATAGCCGATGTTCTACCATTACTAGAACAGCACGGATATGTTAAAGAAATTACCACAGGAGTAAACGTGGTACGTGCTCTAATAATCTCGTACTTCCGTACCTAAGTATGGATGACAGATTATTTACCATTGCATCGATTTCCCTTCCCACTGTCTGCCTCAAAGCATGGGTCTGGTTTAGTTTGTGGGATGCAGAGGGTTTTAGTTTTGTCCTTTTTAAGCTTGGAGTAAATAATAATACAAAAGAGAAGCATGCTAGACCGRGCTTGTACATAGCTGTATGCCTGTCTAAAACAAACCACGTAGGTAGTTAATGTTGCATCGGATATTGTACTGTAGTAACTTCTTTGGTGTAGTAACTTCTTTAATTTATACGGAGAAGGGCCTAACTCTTAATGTGTTGCAGCTAATAAGGTTCCCAAGCAGAAGAAACACAGTTCAGCATGCAAATATGTACATACATATGCATGGTGAATCACGTTTAGGTAAGCCTAGGATAACTAGAGAATCGATCCTTACGTAAAGTGGCAGTGATGAATGCCAATACTTATTAAACCCAAAGTAATGCTTGTAACTCAAGTTCTCATTCACAGACTTTAGTACCCTGCATCTGACCGCAGACTTCGTAGTCTTACCTTAGTACATGGGCCAGTTTAAGTTCTCAGCCTTTCYATGACCAAAGTTACTGATTTCTTAGGATGTGCTTCTCTCGGTAACCTCGCRTCTTTCTAACAAACTGTTTGCAGCTATCGGGCTTGGTTTATACTCTGGCTTTCTCTTGTGGCTTCTGTAGAGAGGTATGAAGAACRTAAACTTTTTTGCATAGCTATGTGCCTAACATAAAATAACCTTTTCCTTTTTTTCCCTTGCTAACCTCTGTAACTCTGCTTTGTTATTGTGCTAGGAAAGCTGCACAATCCCTGCCCGTTGGCAATGCATGCTACTTTGCATGATAACACCTACTTTGTTGTCCCGTTCTATGGCCCGTTGCTTGCTTTAGCCGTACAAAGTATTTCTGYATTTTTACTCTGCCTTTCCTTTTAGGCAGAAATTACAGAGGCGGTGTCCCACGTATCAGTATCGCCGGTAATACCAACCGAATCTTCGGAAGAGCGCAAGGAACGATGGGAACAGGGCCAAGCTGACTATATGGGAGTGGATTCCTTTGACAACATCAAGAAGAAACTCGATACCTACCTTCACTAGAAATGCCTGTCTCAAACAGTGGTGATGCAAGGACTTGTTCCAGAACTAACAGCTAGAAAGGTATAGATGGTGGTCAGTTACACTTGCAAGTAGCTTGAGGAAAAACTTCTTGGCTGAAGGCCTCTGCAGTGCTACAGATGAAGACTGAGCAAAAGCTAGGAAGCRGAATCCTTGGGCCACCTATTACTGCCCCATTTCCAAATCTGCCCACTAGATAAAACCAGGTATTTTCAGCTTAAAATTTCGTCTGTTTTGATCAATTGGCTCAACATATTCTTAAACTGGGTTTGTTACCTCATTAAGGTGATTAGCATTGATTCCTTTGCTTGCTGTTTTAGATGTAAAATCTAATTCATGGGATTGCTCATACACTGGAGTGGTAGCCATTCTGCTTTACCATAAATGTATTAATGACACTGGGATATATACAGTTGTAACAGTAATAGCACTGCTTTGCTCTTCCAGTCACAATTGCACTGAAATTTTGACCAGGTTCTTACGCACAGTGCCTGCAGCGTGGCAGAATGCGTTTTTCAGTTCTGTATACTATGGGACTAGTAAACTTAGTTTTATCTGTTCCTCGCAATGTTGCACTTGATACAAAAATAAAAAGTTGTCATGCATTTCTGTCTTCCCTAAACTCTTGAGCAATTAAAAAAAGGGAACTCCAATGCAGTCTAACTAAAATGTTCCACAGCTATTACACTTAAGCTCTGCTAATGCTACTCAAGCTGTCATTAGCAAATGTCCAGCTTTCAGTTTGTAATTATTTAGAAGTACTTAGTAATTCACCAGGGAGCCGTTTAGGGTCAATCCCCTTATTACCTTGCCGTAAGTATTGGACWGAGCATTGGAGGAAGTACCTGCTGAAGCTACTTGCGTTACTGACTTGAAGTTTGGGAAGAAGGTATCTTTCTTTCAAGTGACTAAAGAAAYGGCATCCCTAATGTAAGCCCTGCACACCAAACTTGGTCTTAAACGCAATGGAGATACCACTTTGGTAAAGAAAGAATACGTAGCTGCTTAAGTACCTGCTCCGATTGGGGAAAACTACTCTTTCCATGTGTAAAGAGAGTAAAAGAAAGTGCTTTCCTTGCCACACTCGGGCTACGTGTACTCCAAGACACACAGAAAAGCATTACAAATAAAGCATGCTGATGACAGAGATTGGCTGTTACCTGTACTAAGGTTTAGATCTATCCGTTAGCCAAAAGTCTAAAYGGAACAAAATTAATGTTCTTTGACAGCTATACCCTGTACTACTCCAGAAACACTGAGAAAATACTACTTCATTATTTCACGATAGAGGAGGACTTTGGCTGGAACCTAGTGATGGTGCTAAACCTTTAAGCTAGAGACAAAAYAAACAACCGACAAGCTCTCACCATTAATTGGTAAAGCAGAAGACATAATACCAGTATAACGGTTAGTCTGTTTTAACTTGTTTTCACTACTTAATTGCTCTAAGATTAGTTGGTCACCATTTAGGAAAAATGCTGAARGATGAGGTCCGTACCCAAATAGCTTGTAGCTACTTGAAAGAACGTAGTATCTGAGCTGCCAGTTGTAACTAGCCCTTTCCTGTATGGTTTTTTCTTTTGCYGTGTTTTTGTTTTTATTTTTTTTAACAGATAAATTTGAAGTTGTGTGAAAGCAGGAAGGATTACTAGTGGCAGTCTGTAATGACGAGTATACTTTATCAAACCAATATTGGAGAGTTCTGCATACTCACAGAATACTCTACGGAAAATGATAAAATACTCCTTTTAAGCTAAACAGTCTAAATTTTCTTACCCTTGTCTGCATTCTCACTCGAGAATAGGCTTCTTTTTAAGCTTAGTTGGAGACAACCAAGAAAGCATAAAAGTATGATACTTATTACCTGCTTGAAAATTTGGTTCAGCATGTACGTTTTGTTACGTTAATACAATAAGATAAGGAGAGATGCTGAGTAAGATGAAAACTGGCATGTTTACAGTTAACAAATACAGTTAGTGAGGAAAAAAAAAAACCTGTAAAAATCATTGTGTCGTGGCCTCTGTAACTCAGACTATGATCAAGTGTTTACCCACAGCCACAGGACAGCGAAAGGTATGACATCTATACCAAATTCTATGCAGCTTATTTTCAATAAAATGACCTTTATGTCATTATTTGCCACTACTTCCTTCACATTTGCTGCATGCAGCTTCTGCAGAAAAGCGGAGATCCCTTTTTATCATTTGCAATAGCATCACTTGATACATCCAGCAGGTTTCTGCTATAAACTGAGGTTACTCAAAGTAGCACTGTACTCTGAACATCACTATTCAGAAGAGTCATCGCACTGCTTAGATTGCAACTCAAGTGTTGGAACTTCATTTGCTTTTATGAAGCCTACAATCTAAAGTGTTCCTTAGATGGTCACAACTTTTTTCWGTGCTCAGCTCTTACCTCTTTTCTCTCAGATACATTAATGGCTTCCTTGATAGACCATTGTACTACMGTCAGTAAGTTATATTTGGCTTTGGTACATGGAAAATAATTATCTGATACAGAAAAATTATACTGGTAATTGTTTCCAGTTCTTTTCATAATCTTAACTAAGCCATTCYGCATAATGTCAGCACATTTTTACACAGGTAACGGTGTAGGCTTGACTAGCCATAGAAATGGTTCTCTTCCCTAATGTGAATTTTTAACTTGGGAAATGGAAATAATAAAAACCAGCTAAATCTCTACGTCACAGCTGCAAATTATTCTTCCAGTTCTCTCTAAATATCAAAATCTGAACTGGAAAAACCTAAAGAAAGCTTAATTTATGTAAGCTCTATGCAAAAAAACTCAAAAAAAAAACCCCACGCAGAAGCCAAATTCGGTCGGGTTTAACTCTGTTTTCTTTGTAATTTTGACAATTTTCCAGTGACAATCAGATACCGGGGTTCATGCTGTCTTCCATTGTTCGTGTCCTCGTAATTCTTTCTCTAACAGACTTAAAGTACACCCCTCTCCATAGCTAAGGTGCTGGCTCTCTGAAAACTGCATCAATTTGTTGGTTTGCTTATTTTTATTTCCTTTCTCCTTTCAATAGCTCACTTTCTCCAAGTAGCAGACGTCTCCTTATTTCTCATTCCTTTTCCATTTTCTGTGTTTGCCATTCATCTTATAATCAGCAGGCTGGTATTCTCAGGCATAGGAGGAGGCAAAAGGCTCTACAAGCAAATTGGATTCTGTTTTGCTGCTGCCAAGTACACTTCCCAAATCTAAGCAGGACCCAGATATAGCAATCTCTGCCTCCAGTTCAAAGTCTGAGCATTACAGTGAAGGGAGCAGAATGTTAGGTAAGCCCATATTGAAAGACCAGAATCAAATGGAAAGAAAGGAGCAGACAAGGATATTCAACTACTGCTGAGATTCTTCACTGCTGTTTATTGCTCTGTGGTATATGAACATGTGTAGTTTACCAAATTCTGCCTCTGTAAATCAAGCAGCATGCAAATCAGCATTCCATTAAGACAAATGTATGGAAGTGAAAAACGGGTAATTTTTTTTTTTTTTACAAGAGGAAAAGCAGTGCAGGAAAACAGCTGAAAGCTGTGAAATAATTTGTTTGTTTCAATTTATTTTGCTAGGGCTAACTCATTCACTGACATGTGAGTGGATTAGATTCTACTTTCCATATAGCACAGTCTTACTGTTCAAAGTGTSTCCTGAAATTACTAGATAGCATGCTGTTAATAGATGCCTGCTTCTAGCATTTTATCYAAAAAACCTTTACTTTTACAAAAATCATTGGAGTTCTGTTAAGTGAAATATTAAAAAGAAGTGTTTCACAAACTTAAGTAATTCCTTTTTACTWACTCGTAGCAAGTAATTAACAGAGGAGCCCCCTCCTGGTCCTAATTTTACTATTATTCAGAAATAGTAAGAAATACCTTAAAATTTTGGATTAAATACCATCTTTGGACACAGCCTGCAAAAGTAATAATTTCTTACAAAGTGTCACTGACCACCTTTTCTGAAACAATTCAGATGATGTGTTTGTTTATCAGGCAACACTAAGATAGGAACATTAAACAAATTCATACCTAGAGTTTATTCATTCCTTTATTTTGTCTGAAGGAGAAGACAYGTTCTTTACCCTTCATTTCCTTTTCACTTCCAAAATGAAATGAAACACTTCCAAGTTAGAATGCATGAATATGCATTTTGGTTTTGAGGGATCTTTTAATGTGCTTAAGCATTGTACTAACGAGCAACCTTTTGAAGAACTGAACGCTGGAAAAATTTCAGCAGTTTGTGTGCTTCTAAATTAACATTTAGGAGCAAATTCCTTTTTATAATTTATGTGAAGAACTTACATTTTGAGCACAAATACACCAAAACTGAAAATTACCATGGGACATGTAACTTGAAGAGATGTATTATCCAAAACATTAAATACGTTATTTATGCAGAATACCACATGATCAAGCTATAAATCAATCAGAGCCTTAATTTCTTCAATTTTGTTTTCTTTTACTTCACTTGTGGAAGACTTTTTGGTAGCGAAGGTTCCTGCTGCAGGAAACAGCTTTTCTTTGCTACTTTTATTAGAACACAACCTGTCTTCAATTTTCAAAGTAATATTTTTGGGATGGGATATTAACAAGGCAGGCTAGCTGTTCTTCCCCTGCTAAACAAGCTGCTGTGATAATTACAAAAGCATTCTACATACCTTCAAGATAATGAAGACTGAGGTGTACMACTTTCACTCTTTTCTCATCAGTCCAGCAAAGGAAAAGCAAATTGCAGTGGTTCTAGGCCTTTCTGCAGTATCTTGTACAACGGATACTATATTTTACATTGGAAAATATTAAGAAACCTGAGCCTCAGAGGAGCATCTGTATACTTGTGATACTCTCACATTAAAGGTTTGTATTTCTTCTTAAAGGTGAGAATCCTGCAGCTATGATTGTGTTTAAACCAACAAATAATTCTTTAGAGTGCAGGAGGGAGAACGTAATCTATGGCTGGATAAATGTTCCTCCCTCGCGCTGTGGTATTGCACCTCTCGGAGAAGGAATGCAGACCTCCAAGCTACAGTTCTACAGTAAATCCACAGAATCTGAAAAACTGGTTACTCCACCGGTATTTCTGCTTCTTAAATCCTATTATTGCTGCTAGTGCACTTCAAGGAATGCTAATGCATGACTGAATCTCATTTGGCACTGATTATTCAAAAGACCGTAAAGGACGGTGTGTGCCCACCGTGCCTTCATCAAATACAAGTGGTGAACCMACCAGTGCCCCTTGGGACGGGCCCCATCTCAGGATGGCTCCCAGCAGGACGGGAAGATGCCGCTGGGTGCTGTGTAATGGCTGCAGCCGTATTTAGCCCTGGATTGGTAGGTGTAACTGTAGATGACTCGGTGTTAGCAATGCTTAGCTTGTTTCCTTACAACTGCTTGCCACAATACAGTGAAAGCGTTATACCTAATCTGTTATCCTCACGGAAGATGAAAATTCTCTTGCCATTTCCACAAGTATTCAGGGAATTGTTAGAAAAAACCAGCAGTCACACTAGGTGGCATTATGGCAGTGTCGGTCCCTTCCGACTGAACTGATGAGTGCAATACATACAGAAACAATATTTGTGAAGACACATTGCGAATCACAAAAAATTTCTTCCACGGCAACTTCTCTATATTCTTACTCAAATTTAATATATTTCATTTATTAAATAAATAACTTTTGTCTACATGCCGTTTCTACGCTGACCTGATGTCCAAGCTGGTCCCTTTTCTTTACTGTTGGTGGTGACAGATGCCCAAGGCCAAAGCCAKACTATTATTTTCATTTACTCTGTTTCTTTTGAGTGCAGAATTTGTTTCGGTTTCCAGCTGCCAAAAAATTTGGACATCACAGCAGAGGAGTAAACAGTGCAGAAGGCAGGCTCTTATATAATGACACAACACATGAACTAATTTTGTTAGGAATGTAATTTGCGTTTTTATTCCTTACAAATAGTTCCGCATTTCTGAGTGCTTTAATGAAAGGGAAAAAAACTTCCTAAATTTAGATATTACTGGTCTCCCATGACCACAAGAGGTAACCTCAGACTAATGTCTTCATTTGCAAATAAATCTTCAATAATAACAGAGGAGATTAGAGCAGACAAGCACTACATTAAATATATGCTGACCCTCAAATTCCGCTTTGTGGCTTTTGAAGTTCATTAGCCACAAATAGAAAACCTCATTCAAAAGTATCAGAAAGAAAAATAMGTAAGGAACAGAGAGCATATGCTACACTGTAAAGTGTCACGCCGCTCTGTTAGTCGTACTAACAGARTGCGTTCTTTCCACTCACAGTAAATAAGGGGACAGCACAAAAATACAGTGTTAAAAAGATGCCAGGGAAACACTCATCAGTGTGATTCACTCTCAGAGGGGCTCTCCTTCTACCTGTTAGGAAAACACCAAAGGAGCTTCACTTAKATTAAGCCATAGCATTGTGAACAACCCATTACTCCAGGATCCACTAAAAACATTTGGGAAGCTGCTGTCAGATTTAATCCAACTCCACCCGCTTTCGGACACAAAAGCATTGTAGTTCAGGACCCTGCTCRGTTGCTTTGGAAACAACGAATTGGTTCCCCTCTTTTCTTCTGTGCCATTGACCCATACAAATCACCCAAGGCAAACCCCGATTCTCTAAAGAGAAAGTAAAAATGTTCAATTTTTCTGTGACAACAGGAAATAAGTATATTAAAATCATGACCTCTGCTTTGAAATGAATGTTTAAAATTCTGTTYCATTTGAGAGACCTTTCTGAAACACTGTAAACCCAGAATTTATTTAAAGTAATATGAGTTCTAATTACTTCAAGGGATTTTCTATCAGTGACAAGGAAGTTGTGAACTGAGAAATAACCGGACATTTAGCAGCTGGACTATTCCTCTGTAGTTCTACCAAAGCATGCATGAAAGCATTTACCTGAAGTCAAATAAAAGCATTTATCTCAAGTCAAATAAAAGCATTTATCTCAAGCCAAATAAAAGCCGCTTGTGGCACTCTTGCCCCGCGCCGGGAGAAGAGCAGCCTCGGCCAATCAGCGGCCTTCCCTCGCGCCTAGTCCGCGCGACTAACACCCAATGGGAAGCCAGAAGCGGAGGCGAGGGACCAATCAGCGATCCTCGCTCCCGCGTGGCCGCGCGGGTAAGGACCAATGGGGAGCCAGCAGCTGAGGCGAGGGGTTCGAGGCGGTTAACGGTCGCCAGTTGGTGCCGGACGGTCGCGGCGGTGGACGTTTTGTGGTGTAGCCGGAGTTCGTCACCTTAGCAAGGCACCATGGTGGGAAACGGGCTACTTGCGGCTGCGGGGGGGTGAAAGGGCTTTTGGGAGCGCTTCTGCTGTGGCACTTCAGGGGCGTTCGTGACGGGACGTGCTCCGGCAGGACTTGKAGGCAGTCTCTGCTTGAAGTCCCCGCGGTAGCTCTAAGGCATAAGGGTTGGGGAGGAGAGAAATTAGTGTTAAAGTTTATTAACTTTAGGGGAGGCGAGGCATAGAAAGCGGCCGATGGCTAGCGAGACGAGGTATGTGCGAGGGAAGCCTGTTCGGAACAGGCACTTCCTGCGCGAAGAGGCGAGGGGCGACCTGAAACCTGACCGGGGCGGCGGGCAGCTGGCGGAAGGAGCATAGCGGCCCCCGGCCGGGCCTGTCCGCCGCTTTCGGGCCGCCTTGACGCGTGAGGCTGCGGACGGCGCAGCGCGTGCTCCGGGGAGGGCGGCGGTGAGGGACGGGGCGCGCGCTGCGTGCTGCGTGCCGCGTGCCGCGTGCCGGGCCCGTGCTGGGCGCAGCCAATCAGGGGAGGAGGTGTGGCCCGGGGCGGGGCCGCGGGGGCGGGGCCGCGGGGGCGAGAATGTAAACGCGGAGCGAGTACTGCGGCGTCTGATGAATCTAGTGAGGAAACGGGAAAAAGCAGACAGCCCAGACAATTTGCTTTCTCTTTTCCACCTCTGCTTTTTTTCCAGGTTCACTGTAACAGCAAACTAGAAAAGCAGTTTATTTCCATCTCGGGTGTAATAGAGTTGAGGTATTGGGAGATTAAAGATACATGGCACAATGCTTAGAATCACAGGAGCTAGCTAAAAGGGGGCAGATGACATTTCATTGGGACTCTCAGACAATTTCACATAGGAATGAAAAAAAAAATGCGAATTGCTAGGGCCTAGATACTGCTATGCCTATTATAATAGAATGAATATAATATACTGAATGGTCCCGTGCAGGAAAGATTCTTGCAAGTTGCCAAGTACCATGGTCTGGTAACAAGCAAATCAGGGGGATATTATATAAAGATGTTTTCCAAAAAACTAAAAGAAGGTGGAAAAGAGACTAGGCTGAATATTAAAAAAGGAGTATATATGCAGCATCATAAGGGATAATGAATTTGCATTCACCTGTGTGTTCATAGAGACTATGTTGTCTTTAGGATCTTCCAATATTCTCCAAGTCAGCGCAGGCCAGTGCCAGCAGCATGCAACTTATTCCCTTAAATTGTCACTTAGAAGAGCAAGCAGGGAATATTGCAGCAGAGAAAGGTCTTGGAAGGTACAACTCAGGGGCAGGTAGCTCCATGTCTCATTATCATTCTGTTTTTGCTTTGCAGCGTGAATGCATCTCCATCCATGTTGGTCAGGCTGGTGTTCAGATTGGCAACGCCTGTTGGGAATTGTACTGTCTTGAGCATGGGATCCAGCCTGATGGTCAAGTACCTAGTGATAATACTATGGGACGTGGAGATGATTCGTTTAACACTTTCTTCAGTGAGACRGGAGCTGGTAAACATGTTCCAAGAGCGGTGTTTGTGGACCTAGAGCCAACTGTAGTTGGTACGTACCCAAMATTAAAGGTCTTATGTGAAAAAGTGAGGGCCCTTTACAGATTCCCAAATGTCTTTTTTTGTTTGTTTAGAATACTACAGACTTTAAAACGTGTGTCTGGATGCTGTTTTAACATTTGAGGTTATTGTAATTTGAAAGAAATGAAATAATGGTCTACAGGTAACAATATCTGGAAAACAACATAACTTTTTTACAGTCTGGATCATCTTTACAGACGGCTGCRCTGCATACAGAGTTTTGAGTGCTATCCATGATGTCTGTACCTTTAGTGTAATTTTCTGTGTGATCTTTGTGTTCCTTGAGTACAAATACTGCTTTGTGTGTGCCTGACGTTTACTCCGAAACAAAGGGACGGAAGTTGCGCCTACTATTTAGGCTAGCCAGACAAGCTCTGTGTAGTTGGAGATGCTGTCTGCACTCTTGACGTGTGTCCTTACAGCACACACAGAACTGAATAGATCAAATTTATGTGGTATTTTGGGGTTTTTTGTAGATGAAGTACGTACAGGCACGTATAGGCAGTTATTCCATCCTGAGCAACTCATTACCGGGAAAGAAGATGCAGCCAATAATTATGCCAGAGGCCATTATACCATCGGAAAAGAAATTGTTGATCTCGTGCTAGACCGCATTCGCAAGCTGGTAAGAATTCATGCTGCAAATYAGCATTTAAAATAATCGATACAGCTCTATAATTAGCCTTATTGAGGGTTTGCTTGTTTTTTGCTGAGAATTTAGTGCATAGTTAAGTGTTGAAAACAAAACAAAATCAACCTTTTATTTCCTTGCTTGCCTTGCCCTCCCTTTAAATAAAAATTCAATCAGTTAAACCAGGACCTTTCAAGAACRCTGTAAAACTAAAAGACATGTGACAGAAATGCATTTGAATGATTAGTTTAAGACTGATTTCTCCAAAAACGTCAATAACTTTTTTCTCCCATTTTTTTTCCACCCTGTTACAGGCTGATCTGTGCACAGGGCTGCAAGGCTTTCTTATCTTCCATAGTTTTGGAGGAGGCACTGGTTCAGGGTTTGCATCACTGCTCATGGAAAGGCTGTCTGTTGACTATGGCAAGAAATCTAAACTGGAGTTTGCAATTTATCCAGCACCACAAGTTTCCACTGCTGTAGTGGAGCCCTACAACTCAATTCTAACTACCCACACAACATTAGAGCATTCAGACTGTGCCTTTATGGTAGATAATGAGGCCATTTATGATATATGTCGTCGTAACCTGGACATTGGCCGTCCTACTTACACAAATTTAAACCGATTAATTGGGCAAATTGTTTCATCCATCACAGCCTCACTGCGTTTTGATGGAGCCCTCAATGTAGATCTGACAGAATTTCAAACTAACCTGGTTCCATACCCACGAATCCATTTCCCCTTGGTAACATATGCTCCTATCATCTCCGCTGAAAAAGCGTATCATGAGCAGTTATCTGTGGCTGAAATTACTCACGCTTGCTTTGAACCAGCCAACCAGATGGTCAAATGTGACCCTCGCCATGGCAAGTACATGGCTTGCTGCATGTTATACAGAGGTGATGTTGTGCCCAAAGATGTCAATGCAGCCATTGCCACTATCAAGACTAAACGTACCATTCAGTTTGTGGATTGGTGCCCAACCGGATTCAAGGTATGTACGTAGCCTTTTAAGTGCTCGATACCTAAATGATTAGGAATTGTGTAGTCTTCAGATGTTATGGTCATGCTACAGTATTGTAATGTCCCTGTTGGGCATTTTGATAAAGTGCAAAATACCTGTGAACTATTTTATTTATTTGTAATCATGGCGATTTTTGATTGTTAACAGAAATGAGTTTTTAAGCCTTAGCACTCCTAAGGAAAGTTCTCATTTGCTCTCTTGCAGGTGGGCATTAACTACCAGCCTCCAACTGTGGTGCCAGGTGCTGACCTTGCCAAGGTGCAGCGGGCTGTGTGTATGCTGAGTAACACAACTGCTATTGCAGAAGCATGGGCTCGGCTTGACCACAAATTTGATCTCATGTATACTAAGCGTGCCTTTGTGCATTGGTATGTTGGAGAAGGGATGGAAGAAGGAGAATTTTCTGAAGCCCGAGAAGATCTGGCTGCCCTTGAGAAAGATTATGAAGAAGTTGGCCTAGATTCAGTAGAAGCAGAGGCTGAAGAAGGAGATGAATAGAAAACTAAAGCCTGGGAAAAGCTATTTAAAAAAAAAAAAAAAAAAAAAAAAAAAAAAAGAAATTGCAGAACCCTGTTTGTTTCAAATGTGTTTCCAAATAAAGTTCCAAACATGCTGCTGCTTTTTCTCTTCCTCAAGATTAATGTGTGTATTCATAGAGGAAGGACCACTTGAGATTGCAGATTTTGGTAGCCGACCTGTTGCCTGCTTTAGAAGTGGGAAGCGGTAATTTTTATCTTCCTACATTGGCCTAGTTATTAAAAAAAAAAAAAAAATCTAATGTCCTCTTCCGATACGGTCCTAGGACTAGAGCTTAAGAGACACACGAGGCAGCTCAATCGTAGGACACTGCTTGTGTAAAAAGTGCCGACYCAGTTGGTTAGAGCACGGTGCTACCACCACCAAGGTCACGGTTTCAATCTGCACRCAGGCCATTCGGCTAAGAGTTGGATGCTGTGATCCTTGTGAGTCCCAACTCGGAATATTCTGTGAAGAGCTGTTGTTTGGGGGGTTGCTAGTTGGGGTGTGAGGGGTTTTTTTACGTTATTAAGGAAGAATTGATGTATTTAAGTACAAAAAAAAAGTCTCTGTTTTTGACTCTGGGAGACTGGAACAACTCGGTTTTCAGTAGCTTAATGCGTTAGGCACGCTGCTGCCGGCGGCAGCTGTTCCGAGCCGTGTCCAAATGAAAGCGCACACAAACCACGAAACAACCCGTCAGCAAGGTCTTCGATTTCTAAGCCACCGTTCCCCCGTCCGTCTCACATTCCTCAAGGATCCCTTCCAGTCTGCGCACTCGAGAGTTGTCCCAGTGTACGGCGCTTCTCTGCAGAGAGGGAGGATTCCGGAGAGTGCTCCTCGTAGGAGGTTCCCTGGCCCGGGGTAGCCGCCCACTGCTGACGGCCCCGGCCCCGGAGGGCTCTGCCCAGCGCGGAAGTGCCGGCACCGCCCCGAGAGGCTGCGGGTGCTCTCTCCGCTGCTGCCGCGGAAGTTTTCGGGACCATGGTGCAGCTTTACAACTTGCACCCGTTCGGGTCGCAGCGAGTAGTGCCCTGCAAGCAGGAACCGGCGCACTTCTGCTGCGGCCAGGACGTGCTGTTCGTGGCCAGCGCGGCGGCGTGCTGCAGGGTGGAGGTGTTCGCCGTGCGCCAACAGGGCCGCTGCGAGGCCCTGGGCTCCTTCGCTACGCTGGGTGCCGTGCTGCGGATGGCGTACAGCKCGGCAGGTCAGTCCCGCCGGCCGCGGGCTCCGTGAGTGCTCGGCCGCGGAGACCGGGACGTGAACGGCTCGAGTGCGGGGAMCGGGGGGCCCCGGGGCTCCCGCGGATGGGGACGGTCTGCCGGCCAGGCTTGGGCCGGGGAGCGTGGGGTGGCGAGCGAAGCCGCCGGGGCTCCGCCGCGGGASGAGGGATGTCCTCCCACCCGCCCGTCTCTCAGGCTTCCCCTTCCGAGGTGCKGCGCGCCTGCTGGAGCGGCTGGGGAGCGCTCGGGGCTGCAGCAAGGACGGGGCCGGCATCTCTGCATCGTCTGCCTCCGCCCCTGCTTTTGTTTTTTGGGTGTTTTGTTTTTAGAGCACAGAGTGGGTGGTCGTTCCATCCCATCCCATCCCATCCCATCCCATCCCATCCCATCCCATCCCATCCCACAGCTCTTGATGAGTCTATTGCTCAATTGCTTTCCCTGGTCTGTAGAGAATAAAACATTTCCTTGTTAATGGGTATGAGTTGAGGAGGTGGAAGTAGGGGGGAACCTTGTCTGCAATCACAACTCATAGAGTGAATTCACATAGGCATTGTTCTGGATCTACATCTGGAAGTCCTTTATTTTTAATGTTGTGTGAAGTGTGTGCCACCCAGTAAAGTGACTTGCACTTTGTATTTAATTATGGAAAAAAATGGTGAAAACTGGTTTTGGAATTTTAAGAGTTTACACTTCAAGATTTTCTTTGTGGTGTACTACAGCAGTTAAAGAGCTCAAAACTGTCACCTGTTCTTTGAGGATATATCAGCATGACTGCTTTCTTTTAAGGAGACTATCTGGTGACAATTGAAGAAAAAAGCAAAGCAACTTTCCTAAGAGCATATACGAACTGGAGGTGCATGTCTGCAGGGAGTTCTCGCGTGTGTGTTCGGATGGTTGGTCACAAGATGGAAGAGTCATACAGTGAAACCTTGAAAGAACAGATGTCAGTTGTTGAAATGCCACTTTCAGATCCTCCACTGTGCATTTCGTGTTGTCCTCTGAATGGAGATCTTCTTGTGGGCTGCAAGAATAAACTAGTCATGTTTTGTTTGAAACACCTGGTCGTAAACCAGAATTTGACTGTGTTAGATTTTGAACGGACCTTAATTTTGCACATTGATAACATCATTCCTGCTGAAGTTGCATTCTGTGCCAGACATATAGCCATAACAACAGAGCTGGATGTTCTAATCCTGAAACTGGAACTGGTCCAGCGAGGTGTGGACAGGACAGAGCAGTGTACTCAGGGAGTCAGTGCACCACAAAAGGCTGCAGATGGAGGTAGGTGCTGAAATAATTTTTTAAAATTTTTTGTCTCTAAGAATCTGCTAATTGATTCCTATTGTTCTGAAAGTAGGCTCAAACAAAGAGCCTTTGCCCTTCAGGAAATATTTCCAGATTGCCCTATGACTATCAGCAGAATATTCTAGGGCATGAAAAGTTATACCAACCTGCAGCTGGAGGTGACATTTCAAGTGAACATATGCCATCATGCTGCACACTTAGAGGATAGTGCCACCATGGCAGACACAGAATTAGGTCCCTGTTTTGGGGTGCCACCGTGGACCAGGTTAAAGTGGTTCAGTGTACTATGTTCAGAAAAATTACTCTTATCGGTGTCACTGCCTAAGGAAGTGGCTTATACTGTTAAGAATGTTTCTGTTGTGATGCCTGTGTACTTTTGTGACTGTTAGGCTCAGAACCTACCATAATAAAGCAAATTCYTTTTGCAGTCCTTTATCTTATTCGTGGGCTTGCCAGTGTGCTCAGGAGGTTTCATACCTGTGTATTGCAAGGTGTCGATCGATATGTAATCAATCATCAATTCCCACCTTTCCAAAAGTATATGTATTAGATCAACACCAGCGAACCTTAGGAAAGTCCTTTCTTTATGATTGAAGAAACTTAAAAGGATGCTCTTTTACAATTGGAAACTGTACCTAGAAAAGATCTGAAGGTAAACAAGGCTTTTCGTATAGGGGCAATATAAAKGCAATGTTCTTTATTGAGTGAAGGTCGATCTTTTCTCATATGATAGCATCCTGCCCCTAGTTGTTTTTATTACTAAAAACTACACAGAAAAGTTCCAGTTACTTTCTGAGTGTTGTTAGGATTTGCTTTTCAGGACTTGGTGAGTTTTAACATAACCTGACTTCCCGTGATAGCTGCCCTTGCCTTCTCAAAACCTCCTTAGCTGGAAGTCAAATGTTTTTTGGTGACCAGCCACTTGTGGCAATGGGTGCCTCGGATTCACCTTCTAATGAACTGTTTACTTGTTTGGGGCTTTTTTCCAAAAATCTTGGCACTTAAATATTCACACTATTGAGGCTTAAACAGGAATTGTTTCTATATTCTAGCATGGCTGTTTTCAAAAYCTTGTGTTTATAGGAAGCCAGTACTAGCTAGGTGGCAATCATTGGAGTATTACTATGTCGTACYATTTTCTTACTGCTGAGTGAAATGGTTTGAACAAATAAGATGGCAATTTTCATTGCTCAGGTGTGAAAGATGAAGGTCCTTCAACACATACTTTACAGCTTGAATTAGATGAGTTCATCGTATGTCAGAAGCCAGTGGAACTGCTTGGGGAAGAAAGTAAGCTCTGTGAGATACCCATMACACTGGAATCCACAGAGCTACCTACGGAGGACACAGAGCGCTTCCAAGTGCAATATCTGCTTTTCAGGTATTACAGATGTATTTTCCCATTTATGGGTTAATTTACTACAAAAAAAATCAAACTGAGTTGTGTATTTTTGTCTTTTTGAAAGAAAAATMCTGTTATTTTGACTTCTGGGGATGTCATAAACCCCTTTTGAATTGAGAAAATTATGGAGCGCCAAAAAAAGCCCATTTTTTTAGTACACGTCACACTTCTTATAGCCAGTGCTGTTTACTTGTCCAGAGTAGATCATSTCAGTAATTTCTCACTACAGTCCCATGTTGTTTCTGACTTTTTTTCCAGATGTTTTACACCCGACCAGTCGCCTTTTGGATTTTGTGAAGAGACAAAGTTGCACTCTATTCAACTGCTTCCTGTATACCAGACAGGTATATGGTTATGCATGTATGTGCTATGCACTGTGTCATAGGAGAATTTGTGAAATGAAAGAACTTCTTTCTATATTCTGTTTCGTACACTGTGTGATTTCTGTATGATTTGTGTTTAGATTGGGATCTTTCCTCCCTTTTCAATGATTTAAACTGAGCTTCTGTTAACAAAAAAGACTTTGAATTTCTTCGAGTTCTTCATAAACCTTGAATTCATCACTCCAAAAGAGGAAGACTAAATCAGCTTCTATAGATTCTTTACTGATAAATTTTGTGTTGCAAAAGAGTCGCTCTTTACAATGCATTAATAAATTATCCTCAGTGTTGTAAGATACTAGACTGTCACTCAGCCAGCTGAGGAAATCAGAGTAGTAAACATAAATCATTGCTAAGAAAGTGGTTATCTTTCTGAAAGGCCTTAATTAAAACTGGAAAGGATGAATGGAGGTATTAAGGGTTCACTAGCTCAAGCCCCAAAAGACACATGGTAGAATTTAATGCTGTATGTGAGCAGTCAGATTTCACGGAATCATAGATTGTCCTGAGTTGAAAGAGACTCACAAGGATCATCCARTGCAATTTCTGGCCCTGCAGAGGAGATCCCCAAAAATCCCACCGAAGTGCCTGAGAGCATTTGGAAAATGCTTTGAGCTCTGGCAGACTTGGGACCATGACCACTGCCTTGGGGAGCCTGCTGCGGTACCTGACCACCCTCTGGAGGAAGAACCTTTTCCTAATACCCAGCCTAAAACTCCCCTGACACAACTTCATGCCATTCCCTTAGAAACTGCGTGTGGAATGCTCTTAGGTCTCTCCCTGGTCTCCTCCAGGCTGAGCAAACCACCTGCCCTCAGCCGCTCCTTCTGTTGGCCTCCCCTACAGACCCTTCACCATCTTCGTAACCTTCCCTTAATTTCTTCTCCAGTAGTTTTATATCCTCCTTGCATTGTGGTGCCCCAGACTGTCCCCAGGACTTGAGATAAGGCCGCCCCAGCGCGGAGCAGAGCAGAGCAGAGCAGAGCAGAGCAGAGCAGAGCAGAGCAGGACAATCCTCTCCTTGCCCTGCTGGCAATGCTGTGCCCGAGGCATCCCAGGGTATGGTTGGCCCTTTGTGACTTTACTGACTGCTTGCTCGGTTTGAGGTGCTTCACTGTCTGCTGGGTAGCAGTGCCTCATTTCACGTGCAGGTGACTGGAAAGAATGAGCTACTTGCCCTTAAACTACTGCCATTGAACAGCTGTCTCATGCGCTTTTGTGATTTATAGGCTTTGACAAGAGGGTTTGTAGAACTGTTACATGCTAAAGTGGTGTCCTAAGAAGTTCTGCCATTTCCAGCCTTTCCTTCCCTTAAGTGAGGACCTRTTTTTTTGTCAGCTGCAGCCCTAGATGAGCATTCATTCCAGCTTAGAAGTGATTGTCTAAGAGCAGGCTGATCTTTCAGTCCATGGATGCTTTGTTGTGGTGATCCATATTTTTGTGAAAATGCCTGCGAATGAGATAACATGTCGTACAAATTTTTGACATRTGCACCGAGCTTCATATAGAACTTCTTTTTACTAGCTACTACTAAGAAAACCATTCTGGAACTTGGGCAGGCTTGGTAGCATCTTTTAGGCATCAGGCTTGCAATAGAATTGCCAGGCTTTGATTTATGAAGTGCATAACATGCCTTTCTCGTTGTTACATCTAGGGAGTACCACAACAGCCTGTGAGGAGACTGAGAACAAGAGAAAACTGCTGAGTCTCTTCTGCTTYTTCTCTTTACCTGATGTTGGATATCTCTACTCTGTTGGGAAGTTAGTAGAACTAATTTCTACTTACCAATATTCCGAGAAGTCAGAGCAGGCTGTCCTCACTCCGCAGTTCCTGCATGTCATTACAAGGTATTGTGTTTATGATTTCACTGATGCTATTACTATGTTTCTCTATGCTGCTGTCCTTTTTCTAATTTTTTTCCCCCGCTCTGGTRCGTCCTTCACAGCCTCCTGGCAGTCTCTGGGCAGGCTCATGTCTTAGGTCAGCATATCCTCCTGTTGAGGCTTTAAAGCCGATTTCTCCAAAGAAAAAAGAGCTGATTCACTGTAGTCTTAGTGCCTTGATTTTTGTAAATCTTAATTTTTTTCCGCCATTGTTGTGTTTTCTTCTTTTCCTCCAGTCAGAACCTGCAGTGCTTCACAGTGCGATGCAGTGCAGCAGCAGCTCGTGATGAGGACCCCTACATTGACACGACTGTGAAGGTGCATCTCTCGTTTTCTCACYAACAGGCTGGGGGTGCTGCCATGGCACTTAGGGTTTAATTTTTTTTTATTTTTTTTTTTTAATTTTATGTTTTCTTTTGAAATCCTGTTAGTTTCTATTGGCTGAACCAATAGACCAAATAACACCCAAAGTGAATATTTTACTGTGGCATTTTGTATTTTGGTAGTCTACTACAGATGTCTCAATAGAACAATTTATTACTGCCATTTAAAATTCTAGGCCATTAGAATTTTTTCAAAAATTCATGTTTTCAAAAACATGAAAAGCTACAAAATCTCTTCTCTTTTAAACTAAAACATGCTTTTCTGTATAAAACTGGATGAAGGGTGCAACGTTTTCTTCTGTTGTGCAACTTTTCTCTCTCTTYCGTGTCCTTGAAAAACCAGTTTTTCTAAGAGGAGTGAACACAATCGARCAAGTCTGCTACCAGATACTTAGGGCATGTTTTTTAGGAGGAGGGCTGTTGGTCCATGGAGGTCTAAACTTTTCCCCTTCCTTAAACTGCTTATCAGTAAAAATCTATTGAATGTAAATGTTGTGATATACATTTATAAAAATATTAGGAAAGATAGGTGGAGGTGTATTTTAAGTTAGCATTTAAGGATTTCTTTTGAGCGTATAGACAGACATAAAAAAAACCTGTAGGACAGTAGAAGTTTTATAAATGTTTTAAGAGCCGAACACGTATGCTCTGCTCTGGATGCCYAGTACCAGCAGGTGATGCAATCTGTCCCGTCCATTCTCCAGTCTCGGCTTTCTGCATTTTCCCTGTGGGTTCAATTAAAATCCATCCCAGTTGCTCCAGTCAGGCAGCAGGCAGCAGTCTCTGTAGGAGTTTTGGAGAGGTGTGRGTGAAGGCTGCAGTCCTGCATGGATTTCCATGCTGTCCACAGTCTGCCTACCCTCGATTCTTACACAGATCCCTCCATGGGCTGCAGTCCCTGCACTGCTGTACAGTTTGAACTGTGATGATATTGGTGGTTATTTTTATTATTTGCTATCGTTATTTTTCCTGCTGCTTTTTTCACACCAGTTTTAGAGCTGTCTTGTTCTGGGTSTCGCTAGCCCAGGGCGCTCTAGTGGCCTCTGGGTCACCACTGTAGGCCTCCACCTCTTAAAAGGAATGTTCAGATGTCTTCCAAAAGCAGGTTACACGCATAATGCTGTCGTTATGCATTTATGAGTACTTTTATTCTTGCTCAAATGAAGCACTCAAAGTTGGGGAAGTCAGTGAATGCTTTTAATGTAAGATCATTGTACAAAGTTACTTTTTTTTTCTGATTTATTAGAAAAACTTGACATACATACTAAGTGAAATTACAATACAGTCACTTTCCTTTATAGGCTTGTCCACCTGTCACACTGGATGTCTGTACATTAAGAATGCAGCTTTTTATAGGACCAAGAGCTATCTGTCATTTCARAAACCATATAATTCTTTTGACTAAGGCAGACACAGAAGATATTACTGAAAGAAGAAAGCCTACAAGAAGGATGCTGTAAGAATTTGTGTCTTTTAGGGAGATGGCGCTTACAGCTCTGTGTACAGTGCTGAACTTGCGGATATTGCAGTTGAACAATTGTTGGTCTGTTGAAAAAATCTTCAGAAATAATTAACTTCTTAGTGATTGAGAACAGCAATCGAGGTTGTTTTTTTTTTTTTTTCTTTTCAATTCTATTGTATTTACTGACACAAAAGAAATGAGCATAGGGTTACAAAAGCTTAACATCAACAAAATGTTAAAGTAACTTTACTAAAAGCTTATCCTGAGAATTAAAATAATATTTATCTTGAGAAATATAAATACGTAGATACCAAAGCTACAGGTTACAAAATGCGTTGCAGCACAAAATTAAAAYGTCTTAAAATGTCTTTGGCTGCAGGTTCTTTCCAAGGAAGTTGCAAACATCGCTGTAGTTATCCGTAACAAAAGTTGGAGCGGACTTTGCCCCGAGTTAGTCTTGTAGCATTGAGTGTAGCCMGGGGCGTGTGTGACTTTTTGCAGGTTTCCATGGAAACTGCTATTCCCCTTCCTTTCTTGAGGGCTAAACAGCTATTCTAAACAGCTACTCAGAAACCACATTTCTGAAAGTCAGTTCAGGTTAATTACCAAAAGTGGGACGGCTCTGGCTGATTGAGGAGTTATTTGAACCAGTATTTCTTAAAGTCTAGAGCAGACACGATTCAGAACAAGATAAGGAAAGCCGGTCTGAGCAAAGGACTGTTCAAAAATACTGRAGTTTTCTGCCAGTTGTGTTGTTTCAAGTATTCTAGTTGGTATTTGAAGAAGATACACTTGTTGCCTTCTGGAAAGAACATAAGTCGAACACATAGGAAGCCGCTTAGTGCCATGATTTGAAAATAAAGATGTAAACATCCCAGAACAAATATAAAATAAAACCAAAAACCAGAAGAAGAAAACAAAAACCACTGTTTTCCTACAGTGTTTTTGACCTTAGGGCTTCGTAGACATAGCCAACGTTTTAGAATAAAAGCATTCTGATACTTATTTATGCCATGTCTCAGCAAACGCTTTGCTAGAGCTCGAGGGACAAACAGGCACTGWGTCCTTACAGGAGGTGAGTAAAAATCTTAGCTAATTTATATTACTKAACTATTCAAGGTCTGGTTGGATAAGGCCCCGGGCAGTCTGACCTGTTCAGTGGGTGGCATCCCATGCCTCGGCATCCCAGTCCTAGGGGAGTTAGACCKAGATGATCTTTAAGGTCCAAGCCAAGCCATTTGATGATTCTGTCATTCCTCTAAGTGTCTGATACTACCTGGTGTTAGGCACAGGAGACGTCGTAGTTCTGATGACGTTCCTGGTGTATGAATGTGCCTGTCCCTGTTGTGTTATTGGCCAGTGTGACTTAATTCACAACTTAACTCGCCAGCACCGACTAGTCTACAAACACAGTTATTTATGCCTTTGAATTGTTAAGTGAGTTAAGGGAGTTTTTTGGCTGCGTAGTGTTTATTTCAACACTTRACCGCTCAACTCTTTTCCTTTTCTCTAGTTCCAGAAAGGCTGACAGCATCAAATCCAGAGGAAGTTCTGAGTCGGAGCCTGGTTGGAATTTATATATCATAAACACTGTTTCAACAATTCAGCTTTACAGGGAAATGGTATTGCCCAACTCTCGCTTTTGTTGTTTGAACTAAAAATAAGTACTGGTAATTAATCTCTGATTCATATAATTGCTGGATATAATGTAGTATATTTCTTACGAATAACCCGTAATCCTGTTTCAAATGGCTGCTGTCATCACTGGAATTGTTCCTGCATATTCTTGATTTCTGCCAGCAGCTGAAGTGTGTCCCGTGTCTGTTCTAGGTAGATTATAGTCGGACTTACGAAAGCGTTAAAACCGAGAGCTGCATCCATCTTCTGAGTGAGGCTCACTTACTGCTCAGAGCAGCTATAATGGACCCTCATTTCCTTGGCTCAGATGAGAAAGAAGATCTTCTGAGAGCATTCAGAGAAAGTTGTGCCTTCTTAGGAGACTGCTACAGCAGGTATGTTTTAGATGGCAAAGTGGCAGAGGAGACCCGTGGTTCCAGTGGTGTAACCTGAAAATGAAAATCCATAATCCTTTGCTATTTTACTTTAGTATTGCCTGTGTAATGTAAGCTTTTCTGTTTTGCAAAAACAGCTTAATCTAGACCTCTCTTCAGTATCTGGTCTTCRTTGTCATTRAACAGCATTCAACGTTAWGTTGAATATGAACAATRTATGCAGATAACCGATGTGCCTGYGACTTAGTKTGGTGTAGTTTTAGTTCTTTCAAAGAGTGATGGCAAAAGTGTTGCCCTGAGTTGATTTGTTATTTCTTCCCTTCCTCTCTGTTGCCTTCAGGTTTGACACGAAGGATTACCACCTTGCTTTGCCATACTACAGAATGTCAGGTTTATCCATGGCTGAAGTTTTAAAGAGACTGGTTTCAGAAGGTGATGAAATACAGACATGSGAGAGAGGATTTATATTTTACTTAACTCATTCTCTTAATGAASACTCAAGTGAAGAATTAGATAAGGTAGAAATAAGTTGTGTGTTTTTTGTAATCTGCTGATTTAGTTCTGATTTTAAGAACTGTATAKCAAGTATTAACCAATTTCCCTTTGAAAATTCTGAATGGCTTATCTAGTTTTACAGTTATTCTTTTTCACATTACTTWTATTTTCCCGTTTTTGTTGAGAAAGTAGCAAGCAGCACCTGTGGTGCTTTGGGCTGCTTTCAAGCAACATACAGGTTTGACTATCGTGGTGCATTTTGCTAGTGATCTGATTACTACCACTTGCACAGAGACACTTCTGTCTTAGGAAAGCCCTGCCTCCAATTTCTTTCATCTCTCATTTCTGTAGCAAAACAAACAGGTTCTTTGAACGTTTCTGAATTGTACAGATAAATTGTGCAGGTAAAAACAACTCATTTTGGTGGTGGATGTTCTGCTAGCACCCTAAAATCCCTACCAGTCCAGTCAGAGATCCTTTACTTTTACCAATAGGAAGAAGAGAGGCGGGAAGGGCACTGTGATTTGGTAGCTAAACTGAACTTGACTGTTTAGAAAAAAAAAAAACAAAAACAAACTAACTAACCAGAAAAAAACAACAAGAGAAATGCACTACTTTCATATACCATAGAAGACTGGTATATCTGAAAAGGTCTAAGCTGTCAAATGGCTTTTTATTTCAATAGGAATCAGGAAATAAAGTTCTCAAGATATTCTATCTCGCGGACCCTGTGCAGCTGCCTCATATTCTTTGCAGTCCCTGCATGAGAAACGTATGTCCTTTCACAGCTGTGAATTATCTTCAGAAAGTTGAAAAGATGATGCCTTCAGCAGTCCTGACACTCACTAAGGCTTTCTTGGCCCTGAAAATGGGAGACCTGCTAATGTACAAACGTGAGATGGACTCCTGTACGGAGGTAAAGTGTGCTGAGAGCACGAGCTGTTGGTGCTTTGCAAAGTGCAGGTCCGTGGTTTGAATTGTTGCATTTTACAGTGAGAGAAACTTTGGGTGGCTCCTCTTCCTCCTGATCTGCTGTGCAGACTTGGCTGAATGTCTGCAGGGACAGTGGAATGGAGGGCTGCCATACCCTGGGACTGCACGGTTTGTCCTGCAGGGAGGGTGATCTTGTCTTGGTGAACACTTACCAGATAAGCAAGTTYTGAAGCTCTTAATTCTTGATAAATTAAATGCTGTTTACTGGGATGCAGCAAACTCTGCGGAGCCAGTACTCTTCAGCTGCACGGTGGGGTTGTACAGGAGCATTTCTACACCCATTAAAGCATTTCTGGGAGTTGTATAGGAGCTCCTGGTTGTATCCTAGGGTTGTATAGGAGCATTTCCACACCCATTAAAGCATTTCTGGGAGTTGTATAGGAGCTCCTGGTTGTATCCTAGGGTTGTATAGGAGCATTTCCACACCTCTCCACCTAAAATGAGTATGTGATACGCCCACGAAAGCACCGTCTGTAGGCAAACAACTCTTAGAAAATTGCTCTTGAACAGAGTATTTGTCCATYGTGCTCACAAACTGAAGTTTCTGTATACAATTATTTCACATCTTACGTGGAATCGAAGCACTTAACTCTTATTAAGACCAGATCAGAGCCTGCTATCAAAGTAAGAATGCCTCATCATTGGGGGAAAAAAATGTTATTGGAGGTCTCTGCTGCAGATGTTCACATGTGTGAGATCAGTCTGTAAATCATTTCTCGTTAAGTTCGATGAAGACTGTGGAATTTTCAGAGGTGATAGACTTTGAAATACAGACTTTTTCTTCTAGTGGGATGTCGGGAGTCGAAACATTTTTGAAATAAATGGATAGGTTTTCAAAGTTAGATATCCTGCTTTGGCAGAGGTCTTGCACATTTTTAAGTTAGCTTTTTTTGAATTGTAAGGTGGGAGCTCTGGGGAGCTGTTTCAAAAGTTATATTCAGCACCACAGCTGAATATGATCAGCAGCATAATCCAGTGAAATTACCATGCTGTGAGCAAACACACTCTGCACAGGTGTTACTTTGAGAGTAAGGTGCCTTAGCCTTGAGTGTTGGTTTGTTTGGTTGGATTTTCTTTCTTTTTAATCTGATACATTAAATATGTTCTATTGCACTTCACCTTTAAAAAAGCATTTTATWTTAAGGTAGGAAAAAAGATCCCACTTTCAGAAAGCTAATCTGAATTTTTCTTCTAGGTTGCCTCATATTTCTTGTGTAATTCATTTAATTTACTTAGGCATCATTTTTCCACTGTCTTTAAAATGGGAATAATGTGTTGTTATACTTGCCTTCAAAAACACTCACGTACCCAGAAAGAGCTTGCTGCTGCACAAAGTGCATCACAAATTTTGATCATTGTTTCAGGGGTATTTTCAAAATAAAAATCATACTTTAGCAAAGTAGTCTACTRAAATTTATCAAAGTAGCCTCTTGAAAAGTCAGCCAGTGATTTTTCAAACGACCCTGTATATCAAATGTCTTGGATTTCTTCGTGAAATCCATCTTTCTTACRTGCACACATAGTCCATCTTTCCAGGGTGTGTTCCTTTCAGCTTTCAGTGTCCAGGCATGAGGCCTTTTTTCCAGGACACGCTATTCCAGAATGTTGTTTGGCGCTTGGTCTCTGGAGAGCTACTCTATGARTTGCAGAAAGAATTGACTTTCTTCCCTGGCCACTTCCATCCAAATGTCACTGCTGCAGGAAAAACTGAGTTTACAGAACAGAATGAGCTATGTATTGAATTTTTTACCCGATTATATCTAATTATATTTGCAGACAGCACTGACCTGTGGCTTCGTTGGGCAGCCACGACTCCTGTGGCAGCGTCAGACAGGAATTGTTACCCCAACGGAGTTTGCTGTTCACCTGAAGGAGACACAGCCTGCTTTACTGGTGGCTGCTGCTGTGGCTTTACATGAGAACGGWAAAATGGAACTGGAAGAAGCGGATACCTTTTTCAAGGTTGGCCTGTGATCCTTTTTTTGCTTTCATTTTTTTGTAGTGATGTTATTGTGGGTGAGAGAAGCAGCCTGGGCTGCTCCTTCACTCACGTTTCAGGATTCTTCAGAAAGGGCGAGATGAGAGCTGGAGATACTCTAAGGCRGTGTAGATGGTCACAGAGTCAGAAACTGGACCTTCTGGAAAGAAATACTGGTTAAGTGAGGTTCTCAGTTTTTACCCTTTCGTTTGAATGGAAAATACGCCGGGCTCAAAGCTCTTTCAGTGGCTCGCTGAGATTGAGCTTGCTAAGGCTACTGAAATTTAACAGAATTTAAATAAAGTTTTGGGATTAAGTCATGCTTCTAAAGAGTCAGAAGGTTTAGAATGTTCTGATGATTTGTATAAACTGGTGAAAGCGTGTGTCTGTAGTTTATAAAAAGAAGTGCGAAGAGCACCGTTTTTCTAGTGGTGTCCCCAAAGTTTTGTTTCTTTCAGCTGGGAATAGACAAACCTTTTTTATTCTTTTCTCTATAATGAATATCAGTACTTGATTTAAAGCATGTTTTCTTCAATGTACGTGTGTTGCAGTCTTACTTAATCTGTTACTGTGAAAGACCTGKATCAAAACGAGCAAGTCATGAAGTTCAAATCAGAGCAACTATCGTTGTTTCAAACTATTATTTGGAAATGAAATAAAAATCTTTTTTACTGGCACAGCAGGTCTTAAAACATCTTCCACGTGGGTCCTACCATGATACCCAGCTGAGCTACAGAGCACGTCTTATCATGGACTACAGAGACCCCTTTTGAGGACGGTGCCTTCTGTTGGCATAGATAAAAATCCTCCACATTAATACATGTCAATACTTGCTGACGGTTGTACTGACATTCCTGGCAGTGGAGTAAATCTCRAAGAAGAAAGGAGATTCGTTGGTCAGAATTGACTACCTTAAAATCATTTAGTGAACTTTTTACTTTACCTAGCAATGTATTATATAGAATAACAGGACAAAAAAAGAATCAGAATTCTGCTTCTACTGAAAGTGAAAAACTGTTTGTTTCTCCTGTCTTTTTAACTTCTGCTACCAATAATCACCACAGTCTGTGCTAATTTGCTGTCTTCTATTGCTTTTGCTCCTAGGTGTTGTGTAGTAGCAGTGGAAACACTACACCACAGCTCTTGGTGGATTTCTGGGAGGCTCTTCTTGTAGTGTCCTCTCAGGAGGAAATACTTCAGGAGCTCCTGTTGAGGGTTACTTCTCAGTATGTTTGGAGAATATCAGAGAAGCAACTTCCTGACACGAAGCCATTGAAAACAACAGAGGATCTGGTAAGTGTGAACCACCCAGAGGGAGTTTTAGGGCTGCAGTGTTCCTCCAGCATCCATCCAAATACCATCCTTCATATTTTAATTCGAGACAGTTTATCTCTTAAAAGAGGTAAGACTGAAAACAAATAAGGCACCGTGCAGCTATAAATTATTATTGCTGGCTCTGGATAGTCCCACTCCTTGGGGACATCTGCAAATAGACTTCCAACRGGCATCTCAGCTCTGGATAGAAATAAGGGCTAAAACAAAAACAATGAGAATTTGTCAGGTGGGTTATTTGCAATTTTATGAAGCTAACTAAGTTAGAAATTTGTGAGAATGATGAATTTTAAAGAATTGYGAATAGGAAAGCTATAGAAGTTTCCAGTTTATTTGTTATTAAACTGCATGAACCAGAAAAAAGAGTAGGTGCCCTTCTAAATTACGTTATTTGAGATTAAAATTTTCTTCACTTGCTGTGAGTATCACATGGAGCCRTCACTAACAGAAATGTTTCTTTTAYTGCAACTTTGGATTCCGTCTTCTGTAGATAAACTCCTGTAGTCATTTTGGGTTGATTTTCCCATGGGTAACTTCCATAAYGTCAGTGGGATGTTCAYCTCATCAAGATTTCTGTGAAGACATCTCAAGACTACAGGTATGAAATAGATACTACATCTTACTGCTTACACTTAGATTCATTCTGCAGATGTTCATGTATGTACCAACAGCTGTCTCCAGCAGAGTCTCCTCCTTCTTCCCCGCTAAGTTATCCAAGTTGAAATAAAAAGGGGACTGAAATGATGGAAGAAAAAAACACTGAAGAGTTTTGTTGATAACAACATTTACATTTGCATCCACTCTACACTTGCTTTCTCAGTTTTTTTTTATTTCTGAATATTTATTAAAGGAAGTACTGTTTCAGAATTATTCTGACAAGTAAGGGCTTTCGCTCTAAGGGCATGGTTATGGGTTTTTGCAAYGTTTATCCTAAATTCAAATAATACTTTTTCTTCTTGTCTTCAGTCTCTGCTGTGTAGTCAGTCAGTCAATGTAGCTGCAGCTCAGCCTGTTTTGGAGCCCCTGGCAGGGGCTGGCAGTGTYGGCCTCAGCGTCCGTGTCCTGTGCAGTTCCCGTCGGGGCAGGCACGAGGAAGCCCTCGAGCAGCTCCTCCAGCGGTGTCCCGAGGCTGCCATGTCCTACGCTCAGCAGGAGCTGAAGGGTGACAGTCAGGTGTGCTCTTTTCAGTACAAATTGGCTCTGTCATTTGGGGGGTTTTGCCTGGCTGAAATGCTGTGTGTACAGGTGAACTCTGGATGGATCACACGGCCTGCCTTTCAGACAAAGTAAATTGCTTAGCTCGTGTTGGACCTCTCGGCATTTATTTCCTTAACTCTGTCCCCACTGACRGTAATAGAATATCTTTTCCTCCGTGTTCTTTTGTCACTTACTCTGTTCACTGCAGTGAACTTAAAGCTTAGTCTTTTCAGATGGCAGAGTGCCTCAGAAAAGAGGGAGTAATGGGTTCTTTTCCCACCGTAAATGAAAAGCTACCTGTTTTCTCACTAATTGACTGTGCTCTAAATTGTTYGACACTGTTTATAACACAAAATCTTAGTGATAAGCTAATGGATATGAGAACGTGGTCCTGCGAATAAAATTACACTTAAATATATTCGTTTTGTGTCCTGGTGACATCTTCTGACCTTCYAGCATCAGAATGGTACTGGTGCTCCAGTGAAAAGATGATGTTCTTATGTCTCATTTTCCCATTAGGCCTCTATACGGTTTTATTGCTGAGCTGATTTTATTCCAGTGTTCCAGAAATACAGGACTTTACTTCCATTGCCCAATTAATGTATTAACGTATACAGCTCTGCTGGCCAGAGTCAGCAAAGGTTGTCTCTGCTAGACAGATGTACTGGAACTCTGTTCAGATTTGAGCTTTTTATTTAGATCTAAAAATAGTTTCTGTTATTGTTTCCACATTAGAATAGAATGTGAGGCTGCAGTACTGAATCTGAGCACAAGTGAAAGRAAATAGTTACCAAGTTTTTACTCCTACAGCTGTTGCAATTAGATAGAGCAGGAGGCAGTGCAATGCTATTCACCACATTCCGTGGAGCTGTTTTGAGAGAAAAAAAAAATCCTCTGGCTGCATAGGTCTTGCTAATTATGTGACTTTTTTTGTCTTGTAAATTGTGTAAAGATTTTTGAGCAGAAAAAGTTGTACTGAAAAAATAMCACATATGCAGAATCGATGCATTTCAAAGCATTATATAAACTAATTATTACAGTTCATCGTAACTGGCCTGTGTTTGTACACATCCGAGCTTAGTTCAGTGTCTTTTTGGMAGGTCTTTTATAAATTGCAGTCCTTGTTGATTTACACTTTTGCTATGGGTTTTTGTGGATTAGGCTCTGTGGTGGACCAAGATGCTTCCTGAACTTTGCAACAGAACGAGACTTAGTGGAAACGACTGCCCTGTTCTTATTTCAKCACTCAAAGGTAAAAATCCATTGTCTGTCACTCAGCTCCCGACGGCTTTGTCTATCAGCTACCATTCTTAATAACTGTTCAGACTGTTACTGTGATCATTTGGAAAATAAGGGGATCTTTTTCCTCRGGTAGAGCTAATACCGTTAGCAGAMTTTCTGGCCATTAGCACAGAATTCTGCAGTGYAGGCAGTCTGGTCTCATATAAAAATCATGGCATTCATTTTGTATTGAAAACAAGTCAATTGTTGYAATCATACTCTTTCTGAGTAGCTGAGGAGTAGACACCATAAAAAAAAAAAACCCTAGTAAATAGAACTAACTGTGATCAGTTCTTTCCTAGGCTAAATGGCTGGATGGTTCTTAGGGGACAGGCTGCTGTTGATGACACAGGGGAGGGCTTCAGTGTGCATTGAGGTCACAGGCTGAAAAAAGCAGTGTGTTAATACGAGAAGTAGAGAATTCCACCCTCGTACTTCTGTAGTCCTATTGTTACCTGTTTGTAAGCAGTTAATAATACTGTGTGTAGCTGAGGCCCTGGTTTGATGTGCAAAACATCCAATTTTACAGATGGTGTTGAGTTAGGGTACTAGTGATAGTTCTAGAGCTTGCTTTACATTTCAAACAAAACATGAGAAGTATTAGATGAGACTTCATTAGTGTTAGTGCCATTTGTAGACCAGATGAGTCAYGGCAGTGGTGGTATCTTTTTAATCTAAGTCATAATTTCAGTCTATTTTTTAGATTTCCTATAGCTGTATTTGCTCCCGAGTGGCTGTCTCAAATTTCATTCCACTTGCAATATTTAAATTATTTGATTAATTAGTAATTACATTGTTAATGCATTGGGTTTTTTTTTCCTTTGTTCTAAACTCAAAATAGTAAACCATACTTTCTCCCTGCTCCAAGCAGAAACTTTATCAGTTGTTGCAATGGAACTGGAACTAAGGGATTTCCTCAGTCTTCTACCAGAGGATGGAACTGCAGCATTTTTCCTGCCACATCTTCTTCACTGCAGCCAGAGGAAGCTCCTGACCTAAAGCAATGAAAGTGTGCTATCCACTCAACTACAAAGAATGTTCTGTAACAAAAAAGTCAATTAAACAAACAGCACAACTCTTTATAAGGTACGATGGGGTTCCCTTCACATGCATCTCGTGTCTGCTACTGAAGGACAGCTGTTGTCTGAGGCAGAGCATGTTTCGAAGGTAATTCTGGTGCCAAAGCAGCTGGGAAATACAGACTCCACAGTACAAAAGGGCATGCAGAGTTTACTGAAAGTAAAGCAGTAAGTCAGTCACAAATCTGTGTCAGTTGGATCCCTGACCGTGGGAGGAATTCAGGCTCAGGCGTGGGTCTAACTGTGTGAGTGAAAGTGCTTCCAAGTGGAATTGGGCCCCACTGACTTCATTTTGCAACACAGACATTTCCTTGAATTCYAGCTCTGTCATCTTAGTTACATACCCAGACAAGTATTACACTGAAAAAGCTTTTTATTTAGCATTTCACRAGAAAAGGCCATTAATCAAAGAGAAACAGAACGGAAGGTACAGACTACTGTTGGCTTGCTGGTCTTTGTTTCCTTTTTTCTCTTGTTATGCTCAGCCATAGACAATATTGGAAGTATCATTATACCATAAATCCAGCTGAAAACTCTTTACTTCTTTTAGGTAAGCATCTCRGGTGTTTGTGCATGTGTGTACTGATGTTTGTGTATCTTGTGAGCAGAAAGYATCTTTCTTCTCCTCGAGAGCTGGAATTCAGTCATAATAAACTGTCACAATGTTTAAAACATCCTTAGTTTGTGTTTTTTGACAATTACCAAARATACAATGCTCCTGTGAGCCCATAACCATCTAAACCATCTAAAGGCCTMATTCGCTGCCATTGACCCTATGAAATCTGTTTTCACTGGTATTGCAATGTTCCTTAAACCTGCAGAAGTCAGGCAGAAGAGATCATCTACATTTCAGCTAAAATACATCAACAAAAAAAAAATCAAAAGTAATTTAACTTACTGATGTAGTGTTCCTTCTACAGGTGAAATGATTGATCTGATTTACTGATAGGTACTGTGCTGGTTTCAGTATAATCTCCAAAAAGGACMAAAACAATTTAGGCTTGTTACAGAGCAGCAATTTCATTCTTAGAGGAATAAAAACCTGGATATCTTGCTTTCCCTGCCCATGCTGTATATCCTTCCTTCTCATTTGACGCAGATGTAATGGGAGGAGTTGGGTTATTGAAACACAAATGTGTTTTGTGACCACATCTGCCCTTCCTGTTTTAATTCTGGACCAGCATCAGCCGTGCTCGAATGCTACTGCTTCCGGCTCTTGGGAAACACTTCTTTTTTTTTCCTTTGCCAAAGGCTGCAACAGCAAAATGATTCCACTGCAGGAGTTAAAGTTAGGAGTCATCAGAGCAAAGCTCTTCAGTACCAAATTTTGGCCTTTGCTGTCTGCATTTCATCAGGCTTATTTCCGCATAACTTTGCCTTGGAATTATTTTCATAACAAAACCAAAGGCATTCTGTGCAACCCCTCAGCTTTCACATCTTTTACATGCACAAATCTTGAAAGATATACTGAATMCAATTGTAAAATAATTCAAGAATTATTTTCAGAGTGTTTCTGAATTCTATTCAGAAACAACAGAACTATTTTGTTAACTGCTCAGTTGCACAATACCGTACGTATTTTCRGTGTGAATCTGTGGATAAAGTGATAACCAAACTCCTATTTTCCTAAGCAGTTACTGTGTAGTAAAATGTAATAGTATGACGGCAGATATCTCAAGGAAATTTTGCTTCTATTCAGGGTTATTTGCAAAGTTAAAGGGTATTTCATTAGCTCTCCCACATKTCTCAGCTGCAGAATAACACACGTTAGCCATCATCTAGAATATMTTTCGCTTCCAAGATACTGTTTTTATTTATAGAAAAATACATCTGTTAGATGTTATATCCATTCAGCTGTGGTTCTTTCCTTGGCTGTGGCCACWATGTGAAATCTTCCAGAACATGTAGAGATGAGTGGTCCAGAAGAGAGCATTTTCCAAGAAATGCTTCACTGAAGGTAGTCCTTGGAGAATCACTGTGTTAMACTGCTTTCATCATTCTTGAGCACCTGGCGTGCCTTTACACTTGAACTGATTGAACAATCTTGGGAACAGAGACTGTTAGTCTGTAAGGGGAAAAATAACTTTTTGTTACATTTCAATAGGAGAATAATCTCTGCACGCAGACAGATCTTCTGTGCCRATCAAATACTCTGCAGAGCCCGGAATGAGCACAGAGGATCCCAGGACTTTCTGGACACTGTGAGTTAGGCTTAAAAACTGGGTAAAGATGCACTGAAGGTATCTTTTAATGCAGTCTATGTGGCTAAAAATAAAAAAAATCCAACAGACTGCTGATACAAGGTAAAAGTCTGCTTTTACGTGTCTTTCTGTGTACTCTTAAATCAGCCTCGTTAACGTCTGTGGAGGTTTGGCATAACATGCTCTGTGAATCGGCAGAGTTTATAAAATAGAATTAGGTTGTGTTTCACGTTCCAGTGGTTTATCAAATTGAATTAGATTTTCTGCTTAACATTGCATTCTGTATTTTTAGTATAGCTCTAAATGTAAATCATACAATTTTATATATACACATASATCAAATATTTTGAAGTATTTCAGTAATTCTACTGGTCTCTTTCTGTCAATTAACTACAAAAAATATCTGTTGTGCTCTGTCTTTTGAGTACTGAAAAGTGTTGCTTTTAAAATTGTATTCACTTTTTAGCGACAAGACCTTTGAAAACAAAATCCTACATTTTTCACTGATAGTATTGCTRGGGCAAGGAAATAGTATTTGTGAAGCTACAGCATGCCCTTGAGAAAGTAAACACTGTTTTAGTTTTTCAGCACTTGAGCTGCATAGTGCTGATGGACTCAGCCCTATCTMCCGACTGTGCTTGAACTGTGTTTTAAGCAGGGACTGAGGTGGTGTCCGACACCGCCCCGTTGTGCATTTTAAACATAACAATCACCGCTGAGCTGGATGGCTCTGACCTTWCTTGGGAAGCACGGTGTAGGTTGTTTCCATGCCTGCGTGGATGTGGTCAGTGACGTGACAGTGTAAGAGCCAAGTCCCAGGGTTCTGCGGGGTCATTTCCACAGTTTGAAATGTTCCAGGAAACAGGTCAAAGACATCTGCCCGGTAAAGCCCTGTTTGCTTCGAGACAAAAAGAAACAGCAGTTAAACTCTGGCATTGCCAGATGGCAATAGTTTAAGATTTCTCCATTTACCCCTCCAGTATTTTAAACACAGTTGAATGAGAGGCCATCTCCTGTGCGTCATTTCTACCGAAGCATCACTTGGTACGTCCACTTTGTGCTCCAAAGTTTAATAARCTAGCAGCTAAGTGGAAATGAAAACTACAGCTTTTGTCTTACCACAGTCATGAAATATTCACAGTTATCTCGTTGAAGCATCTTGTGARGTTACTGGTGAGCAAATGCTACTGGCAGATATTCTCCAGCTCTTGTGTGTTGATCAAATACAGGTTTGGGGCATAAAAATCTTCCTAAGCACAAACCTTGCTTAATCTTGTGACTTTTCACCATAGGTAACAGTCCTTGGTRTTAGACGTACCTCTCATTCTTGACACAGCAAGCAATAAGTGAAAAAGTGATAAACTGTAAGTGATACCTTRTAGTCAAAGCTGTGGCCATGGAAGTGTGCTGTGTGCATGTCTATCTCATTGCCCATTCCCACCAGGTACCAGCTGACTCGATCTCCAACGTGCATAGTCAGGCCGTGCAAATTTCCAAACACCTTTCCATTAATGGCTAAAAAGAAGGAAAGACAGTGAAAACAATGAAGATCTTGTGCATTGTTGATCTCTAGCATAATACAGATGTAAAGATTTGAAAGCCAATGCCTGCATTACAAAAGTAATGGCTTTGGACAGCACATTATGAATGGGTGTGTTTATATTCCACATTAAACTAGAAAGAAAGACATAATGAAAATTTCTTTGCAGTTCTTAAAAATCTGCATTTCCTGGAGCTCTTTRTAAAAGAGCAAGCTTTGCAAGGCCGTACTTTGCAAGGATGGACATAAGCTTTCCAACATACCAGAACACTTGTAACATTTTTCAGTCCTACTGTCCTGGAACTGGAAATTCAGAGGCCGAGAAAGTCAAATTTATATGCAGCGCTTTCAAATACATATATTTTATAGGATTCCTACAGCTGTATCAACTAAACTGGGAAACATACCATGCATTTTATTACTTTCAAGGAATTCCTCATCCTCTTTGTCAACAAGTTGTGGTTTGGTAGTATAGGTTTTTATGTTTTCATCCAAGTACCATGACTCATTTTCATCAAAAACCATAAAGAGAAGAGCAAACTGAACTTTCTTTTTAGTATGAAACGATGGCAGGTAATGTCTGTGACACACAATGAGTGTGCCTATTAATCCGCTGTAAGTGTCCTGAAATAACAAATGAAAACCCACATAATTGCAAGGTGTGACTAAGCAGAAGTACTTTTAATGACATACATGAATCCTCTCACTATCGTCACAGCTGTCRGTATCTGGGAATAAGGGCCACCAGTGTCAGTGAAACCAGGTTATTTCTCCACTGTTACACGCTACCCAGGGATGGAGTTAAAGGAAGATTGCATCGCTTTTGTCTCTTGCTAGAAATAAACATTAATTCCATATTAATTTGTTGCCCTTTTTTTTCAACCAATTTACATAATTTTGAGCTTGAGTACCATTCAAAATAGGCTTCTTGACACTTTATTTGTATCTGTTGATATAAAGTCAAGAATAAATTAATTTTCATTGAAATGATTATGTTGAGCTAACTCACGATTGGTAAAAAATGGCCGAGTTGTGCTTCACATTTGCATGTTAAGTTTTCCTGCACGACTGATTAGATAGTGAGCAAACTATGAAGTGTTAGCTTTGAGAAGGGAATCTGAGGTGATCAATACCAGCAGCAGAACTGGGAAGCAAAAACATGAATGTGTGTGACATTCGATTTCTGCCCTGACTTTCCTGTAATTTGCCCTCAAGAAACATTTGAATTCAAAGGTATGGTAATAGGGGRAATAACTTGGCAGAGAGAGCAGATAAAATTTCACACTCATCTCCTTCTGCTGTACCTTTGCTGAAGTCATGAACAAACCCGAAATCAGTGACACGAACCTTAACCATGTCCACTGTGGAATGGTACGCCCATGCAATACAAGGTGAATCTCCCCTCTCAGGACTGGATCTCTCTGGGATTTTCCAGACATATGTTTTTGTTTCACCTGAATTAAAAAAGTATCCATGAATTTTTTTTTTTTTTTTAGTTTTCAGTGTGCTGACCTACAGGAGGTCATCCTGAAGCAGATGTTATCTTTATTTGCAGCTTCCATTTCTCTCGAACTTCCTCATCCCATTTACTGCACTGGCTAACTTATGGCCCGTCCTACAGATCCCTGATCCTTCTTGGCAATAGTGTTGTTTTTTTGGCAATGGTGTTGGTTTTTTGGCAGTGGTGTTGTTTTTTTGGCAATGGTGTTGGTTTTTTGGCAATGGTGTTGGTTTTTTGGTTTTGGGGTTTTTGTGTGTGGGTGGGTGTGTGGGTGGGTGGGTGTCTGCGCTGTCCCGCTCACCACACTTGATAAAATCAATTGGCTCTTTGGTAAAAAGATCCCAGAGGAACTTCAAGGAATAGCACAAGCTGTCCTTTCCCTGTGGAGCCCAATCTGTTCTYTCTATCGTGATAGATCATTGTGTCAAAAAATTGCTGCTCAGTCAAGGACTAGGATACATAGCCATAGTTATCAGGGGCATTTGAACTGCAGAAATATTCGTCATAATCAGGATCAAAAATTGAACCTGAGCTAAGACAAACAAAAAGTATGCCTGTCCTGCTATCTGAAAGCTTGCTAAACCTTACCAGAAGTCTTGATGTTACCTGCTGGAAATAAAGAAGGGTGGTTTGATACCTGGGTTAGTTACAGCAACAACAGAACTGTCTGTTTTCACCCCGTGGGCATGGATAGARTAAGGTCTTGATGCCAAGTTCTTAAAAACTATTATAATTTTATCTCCAACATGTGACATAAGCAGCGGCCCTGTTGGATTGAAAAGAAAGATTAACTTGGTTTTCCAAAACACCAGAGCAGWCAGCAAGTTTGTTGTGTTCCAATTCTCAACATTAATTTATAATTCAGCTGAAAAAACTGTATACTGATAATGTTCACTATGATGTGCCAACTTGAGATGTTGAAGTTAAGCCTCTGAGGCTCACGTTCTGAGCACGTCCTGCATGCCTGAAGTCAGTCTGGATGTTGCTGTGCAGTTAAATGCTGGCTTAGGAAAAACTGACCTCTGATCAGGCATCGAACCAAAAAGGGTTTGCTTTAAACTTGTAAGGCAGACAATGTAATCTTGCAGGGAAAGCACCACCATAAAAGTGGCAATTTCATCCCACTTTATATGGAGGCACATTTTGTAGGTAGAACTGTGCTCGGTATTATTCAGAAGGTTTCTTTTGATTTGTGTCATTGCATTTTTTGTGTTTTCAGAACTGAACGTAATGACTTTACCTTGAATTTCCAGGTGCTGCTGCTCCTTTGCTCTTTCTTTGAGAGTRCTGAATGTCTGATCAGTGTACTCACGATATACTACCTTTTTGTACTTTGAGCCAATGAATTTGTCGTTTTTATTTAAAAATGGATTGCCAGGGCTGCCAAAAGAAGAAAGAAATGCATTTCTTCATGCATTTTAGAACATCGTTTGCAGTTATGTCAATTAACTATCAAASACTCGGCTCTGTGAAAAAGGAATCTCATAAACTGTTAGTGTCTTCAACATTAAAACAGTCTTGTTAAGCTGGGAGATTTCTCTTCAAAAGGTTAAAAAACCCACTACAAATAGACCAAGTCTATATGGTATTTGAAAGAATGCTGAGTGCTTGGCCTGCCGAATACACTAAATTGCAATAAGACACTCAGCAATTTGCACACTGAAAAACAGAGCCTTGGCAGCTTGTGGACATCTGAAATGAGGCCTAAGACTTGTAAAGCTTAAGTGCCCTGCTGATGCTAAATGTGAGATATTCTCTGCTGAGATCAGGGAGGGACTGGACACAATAGAGGGGGAAAAAAAGTCTGGTAACAATATAGTCCATATTACTTGWGCTTAGTTAGAATTATGTCAGAGTCCACGGGTATGCAGGGCAAGGAAATGTGCTATGAAGCTGAGGAAAAAAGAAAATACAATTAAGTTAATAACAAAATACAGGCAGTTATAGTCTCCTGCTTTGAACCAAAGTTATTCAGGTGGAACACAGAATTTCATCAGTTCTTGTTCAGCCTCTTCTGCTAATTTGTAYGGATTACTTGATCCAGTCAGTTCTCTCTCATTGAGATTCAAATACTGGAAATAAAACATCGAGACAAGCTTCAGAGTGAGTGGATTCAGCCACGGATGTATCTTGTGTGAGCTCATGAAACTGAGAGGAGTCAAAAATAAGCTTAYTCAGACTACAAATAAACAAGTGACAAAGACTTGTTTATCAGGACACAGACATCATCACAGACGTGATGACAATGAGCATTTTAAGCTTTCCACATCAAGGACTGCCAACATCAGTAAATAATAAATGCACGTGCACTCTCCAGGATTCACTAAAATCTGTCCCACAGAAGACTGATGCTGGACTATTTCTCAGCCATTGTGTTGTCTGGCTCAGTTACGTGGCAGCACTACTGGGGAAGGACCACAAAAGAGTGAGCCCTAAAAATAGATCCGATAGGAAAGTGTGAATAGAAATATCTGAGAGAGGAGAAGGTTCAGAGGAGAAGTGAGTTGCTCCTTTGCTTCCTTTGTMATTTTTTTGCCCCGTGTATATCCCAAAGTACCTTTCCTCGTGGTACTGATGCCGTTCAAATTCCCACGTCCTGTTGGGAGAATAGTCCCACTCGACTTCCACTGCAGCAATGTAGTAAATGGTTTCATGYAAATACATGGATAAATCGACATTCSACCRGTGGCATTTTTTCACTYTGTAGTTCTGTTTCATGCCCCCAGTGTAGTGGTCTGTTGTCAAGCAGGACACTTCAAAAACTCCTAGAGGTCACATACAAAACAAACAATTGAGGAGGCTGAGAGGCAGGTTCGTGCTCGTAGAAGGTCCAAAATCTTTGTGCAGTATGGCTGCTTGTAGAAATAAAATTCAGCTGTAGAAATAAAATTCAGCTGTAGAAATAAAATTCAGCAGTAGAAATAAAATTCAGCTATAGAAATAAAATTCAGCAGTAGAAATAAAATTCAGCATACAGAGGAGCTGGAAATATCAAGGCTCCAGCATTGAGAACTCAAGTCCTTAGAGTTTGCTGCCCTTGCAACGCACCTATGGACAGTGGTGGCACCAGGGTAAAATGCCAGTTATTTAAAGCTTTAAAGTCTCTATGCACAAAACATTCATAAGCAGCAGTTTCTGCTTTAGTAACRGGATTTTTAAACGAGACATTTACCTTCAGAATCAGGCTTCATAGTAGCTGTAACAAATGTATGTGGAAACAGATTTGCTGTGTCCCTTCTCGTTCCTTTAGTCACAAATGTGTTTTCTGAGAAGTATATGGCATGGACATCRACTTCTGAGCCCAAGCCCATCAAATGCCAGGAAACAACACTTCCTTTACACATCTCAAGCCCGGGCTGATTTCCGTACATRTAACCATTGATAGCTAGAGAGGATTTGAGAGAGCAAACCCCACCTTGATTAGTACAGTACTTAATTCTGCGAGAGAGATTAATTAATAAACACTTCCAATGTACTGTCGTGCCTCAGACTGACAGAAACATCAATAATAAAATAATATCAAGAATATCAATAAAAGACTTTATCACATCAGCAAAACTAGGGAATCAATTCAAGCAAAACAACTTATAAAGATTCCTYTTTCTGTCTGCTCCAAGGGGTGCATAACCATGCTAATTGAACTTTGAACTACCACATTTAGGTGAAATTGCACTGAAATGTTTGGGATTTTTTTCCACAGGAAAGCAATGAAGTGTCTCTGGCACTATACGCAATACACTGTACTGTACCCTTTCCTGCCTCCAACATGAAACTGTAAAAGTAAAATCCTAATTGTAGAAATTAATACTTGGCTAACTAATATTTTTCTTACAGTGCATTTTGTTAGACTCTTGGAAGTCTTCATCATCTTTGTCAATTTTATCTGGTCTYAGTGTAAACATCAAAATATTATCCYCCAAGTACCAGCTCAGATTCTCATCAAATACTGTGGCAAGWAGAAAAAACTCCACGTTCACATTTTTCTGTTGAGAAGAAATAGTAGAAAGAAAAAYAGAAACGGGTGAACTGAAAATGTCAGGGGAAAAAATTCCTATGCTCATAATAATTTATGAGTRCAAGTCACCAAATAGAGTACGGCAYGCATTMATACTTCATTTTGATAATCTGAAAGCTCTGTAATCGCTGTGTCTGGTGACTATCTACTGCTGATGCTCCTTCTACCAGCAAGGGACCACCTCTGGAAATGAATTTGTATTTTGATCTTTCAAATCTCTGCGTTTTCCTAGAGATTCTCATCATAGCTGAGGCTGGAATGCCAGCAGCTGCTCCYGACCGTGGTGTTTTTACATTGCAATGACTGTCTGTCTGGAGCCAGATGGAAAACCAACCCCACTTTCTTTTTATTGTATATTCCCCTTAGGGACGTGAGTGAAACTGTGACGTGAAGAGTAGCTGGTGCGATCTGGGAGGAAAAAGCAGATTCAGCTGTGACAATGCAAATATTTCCATTTTTTCTTCTTTGACTGACCTGTTTCCCGGAAGAAAGCAGAGCCCCTTTCCTGCACACCAGGAGAGGACCTACAAGGCCAGAACTGGTGTCTCTGACTGCATCCACAGCYGAGTAGTAAAGCCAGGTTAAACAGTCTGGGTCTTGTTCTGTGGGACCCACATCTTCTGGCACATCCCATTCGTACGTAAAGGTAGCGCCAGGACTCACATGAGAGGCTGGGGATTCGGTACCTATTATGGAAATCAGAGTTGGGAAT